CAGCTGGTACACTGTAACTGTGATGATACTCGTGGCACACAACTCAGCCAAAAATCAAAATTTCACTTGGTTAAAGGCTGTAACAAGTATCAGACACGTGCTTATAATCTTAACACACGTCTATGAATGAGAAAAAAGATGATATAGGTGAAAAACTAAAAAAAAATTTAATAACCAGCCCAAGAGGGCATACTCACATATAGCACATGCTAAGAAAAGCTCCCATTCGCTAGGTTTTGTCACTACCACCAGCATCAAAGCAAACTGAAGCCTCTTAGACCTCTGGCATTTGATTCCTCTGATGTTCCTCTTACATGCAATGGCCTTACGGGCTACAGACAACAAAACACAAATTCATGTTTTCAGTATCCACTCTTCTCACATTCTCAGCTCCAAGATGTTACAAGACGTAAAACATAGATCTGTTCTTATTTACAGCAAAAAACAAGAGACTGGATGTAAAACAACATGTTTAATAAATCTGGGGAGTTTAAGTACCAACATAATTCAGAGAAGGAAGATAGACACGCACTCCTTAATTAAGTGGGTGATGTTCTAGTTAAAACAAAAAGACAACCCTGGGCCATTGCTAAGATTAAGCACTCACTCTTGCAAAGGAAGCTCTTACTACCATCAATATAAAGGCCTTAAATCACAAAAAATAAACCATCTACCACTCCGGATTCCAGAGTAAGTAGAAAGTCAGGACACAGACTGATTTGGATTTACACATTTTCAGTTATAACAAGTAATTTTACAGAGGATTAGTATCTTGATGGTCCGATCAATACTAGGCACTGCTGCTATTACAGATGAAGAGAAAATTACCCCTCCAGTAATAAAGTGTGTATGTCTTGGTTCTCCTTCATTTGCCAAGTCCATTACTGTAATGGTTCCAGCATTAGCAGCTGAGGCAATTTAAGCAGCAGGAACGTGATGAATTTAAAAGCAAGGAACATTTGCCATTCGTTCTTTCTTATATTTTATTCTGCATATGCAGGGTTTCTACCTGACCATTTCCAATACACAAATCGTGTGTTATTTTACAAACAACACTATTTCTTAATTATTGTCCCATTAATAATGAGATGGACCAATAATGTGATTACCACCAAAATTGCTGCTGGCATATTGGCTGCTGATTCTGCAAAAAAACCCGCACACCATCTACCTAAGCAGAAATATGACATGACAACAAGCTTACTTAACTGTATCTAAGCTGTTTCATTAACTTTAATTTGCCCAAATACAACTCCTAAAGGAATCTATTTAGTCTGTCAATTGGAAAATTTAATTTTTTATGTCTTAAAAGGCAGAATAAGAAAAAACAAGAAAACAATGAAATATTTGAAACAAACTCTGAACAGATGAAGTTGATGCACTTCATGGTCTGGGTAATATTTCTCATCACTGATCCTAAAATCTCTTAAGTATTCTGAGAATACTTTTTTTTACCCCTTGGAATTAATATGTTGAAGCAACATATTTCATCTCAAATAAGTAATCTTTTCCAGCCAGTAAAAATGAAGATGATGCAGGAAACATAACTTTTCATCAAAATATAGCCAAGCTACTGTGTTCCCTGCTACTCCTTGTAAATAAAACACATGCAAAGCTTTGGGTTATTTAAAGCTTTATATTGCCTTGTCACTTCGTCTAACATCTCGCAAATGTGAAATCACACATGAATATCTTTGTAAAAGCCTTGTGAATATTCAGATATGTGCATATTGATGCATTTATTATTTGTATAGCAATAACTTTATTGGATTGGGGTCCCAGCTGCGCTGGGAGCTGTACAAATATAACAGCAATGTCTGCAGAATAAATTCTCTGAAGCTGGTTTTGGTTTCCCAGCAATGTGAATTAGCATAAACAGCTACACAAGGTAATTGTGAACTGGGCCATCAATGTAATCCTTTTCAAGTAAAGGAAAATAATACTCCAGACTAACTGAGCATCCCATTTTTCTTACGGCAATGTCATAAGGCCTTAATATGCAAACAGTGGCAAGAGGAAGTATATAGATGTAGTTCCTAGAACTTGGCATATATCATACTGAAACTTACTTCAAGCATTTTTGACAACCAAAGTCTTGAAACCAGCCATGTGTTACAGATGAACTAATCAAGATAACAGTCTAACAGCACTGCAGCTTTCTTGCCAAGTCTAAGAAGAAAAAATTAGACTCCCCACCAAGACACTTACATTTGCTTTTGTTTAACATGGGAACCAGAAGCTTACTGGAAGCTGAACAGAGCTCTGACAACAACGCAAAGAGAATAAAAATAACTATAAAGTGATTAATAAAAACTGAATTTTAAAGCATCTCCTGTTAATGAGTAACATCTCCTCTAACAGCTCTGTTTCTAAACATAATAATATTTGCAGTGGGAAAGACTAGAGAATTTGACGGTATGCAACATCCCCAAAGGTGACATGTGCTCTGTGACCCATCCCCAACACAAAATCATAGAATAAAAAAGTCATAAAATCCTTGGAAGTGACCTCTAAGCTCACCAAGTCCGTCAACCATCAACCCACCAACACATGGAGCTTAACACAGCTGCACAGATCACTTCCAGCTATGATTCCCTAGCTTGTTTTCAGATCCTCTTCCCAGTAATGACTTTGCATCCTTCTACAGGAAGGAGCCCTCCTGGGCTTGGATCACCACATATAGTTTAATTTCAACTGGGCATTCCATTTTACTCAATCCAATGGGGGTGATTCACAAATTGGAAAATGCTACATAACGGCACTGCACTCTGAAGAAATCCCTACCACATCCTTGGAACTGAAATACTCCTCTACAACAGCATAAATCAAAACTGGTTAGAGCCATGAAAACTTAAGAGAAAGAACAGCTTACCATATAAAAGAAGCATATCACGTAATTACAGAGCTAAAGCCAGTTACCAGGCTTTGGAAAGACAGCATTTAGCAGCGCACAAATATTGCAAAACACAAACTTTTATTCAAGATTTAATTCTTCAGACAAGAGACATTGCCAGGAGAAGCACAAAACCAACCGGCCCCTTGGTCCAACCGCTTCCCTCGCATTTCAGTCCTGCTCTCCAGGAGAGGTTGGGTTAACCTCACTCATATTTGGGGCAAACGAATAACATTTTTTGATTAGGACCTCTTGATAGAACCCCTGGCGGTGCTAATGCAGTAGGAACACACTTCCTCTACCTTCAGTGTGCATTTCCCACCCTTGGAAGTGATTGAGGCCAGGTCAGATGGGATCCCGGGCAGCAGCTGACAACCGGCCCACAGCAGGGAACTGTAACCAAGTGGGCTTTAAGGTTCCTTCCAACGCAAAACATTTTGCAGTTCTATGACTTTTTGGTGGACAACATAACAACTCAGGGACTGAAGGGAGAACCTAGCATGGTGCCAAGGAGCCCGAAGTCAACATCGGTAGTTAAGGAGCATAAAAAAATACCAGTTTGTATTACTGCAGGAGGACAATGATCCCTTAAGAGAAAGGGTTCATTTGTTTCCATATAACCCCTCCTGCTTCCACACCCTTTGTTCTCAGGCGTTTTGAGGGCTCCTTTTGTTGCCCTTTCAGAATACCCAAAACCTACCAACAGTAAGGACTTATCCTAATTCCCAAATGTGTTTGGGATAAACTCTGAAATAATAGTTGAATTCTGGTCTTGGATGTACAAAGAAAAAAACTCTATTTTTCTTGCAGTTTAATTGGTTTGGACTAGATGGGACAGTTCACACGTGTGTGCTTTTACAAATACATAAAGATTACAACAGGATTGAAACACTTCCCAGCAGAAAGGGAAAGCTGAGGACTGTGAGGAAGAAAGCCAGCTTGGCCCTGTAGAGCTAAGAAGCAAATTAGAAAATGGGCCCTTTTAGTTTTCATTTACTAAAGCATTTAGATGCAATCTGTGAGACGAAATCCTTGCAATGAAATAACTAAGAGCAAGACTTTAATAGCAACACCAAAACCAGCGTGCATCCCACGCAAGCAAGCTGAAGCGTTACCTTAGAAACCTCTCAGTAACCCTGCAGCAGACCGAGCCTCCCGCTCAGCACCGCCCTGCGATCACTTTGCAAACTCGCACCTCCCGCACGCGCCGCTCCGTGCAAACACAGCGCTGCACGGGGATCGCAGCGCACTGCAACGCGCGAAACAGCGCTGCTCCGGGCGCGTGGTCACGGCGCTACGTGAACGCGGGAGATCTGGAAGCGTTTATTTAGGACGGGCTTAGCAGACAGAAGCAGTGCTTTAAGTTGGTTGATAGAAGTGTAGCTACGCAACACGTCGTCGACAAGATTTTACACTTACCGCAATGATTCCTGCACGCGGCACCTAGCGCTCCTTTTTAATGGAAACACCCAAAGCCCCGCGAGCAAAATCCCTTACGGTTAGCGAGGTGGGAGGCTGCTCATCCTCCTTAAACGCGGAACCCTCAGCCCCAGCAGCTCGCTAACCCCGAGCGCTCCGCTCTGCGCGGCCCCTCGGCCCCGCTCCGCACAGCCCGCCTCAGTGCCGCAGAGCAAAGCTGCGTGCGGGACGAGCGCGTGCAGCAAGAGCCTTGCTCCCTACAGCTCCCACCCGAACGGCTGTTGCTGCTGCTACAGGGACTCGGAAGCGAGCGAACCGCGATCTGCCCATCCGCCTGCAGCAGCACCGGGGCAGGGGCTCGCCCTGACTGCCTTCCTAGGGATGGGAGGGGAGCAGGAAGCAAGGCGCAGGTACCTTCAGTTCCTTCTCCCGCTCCCCCGCTCTTCTCTTCATGCTGCCGCCTCCGCGCGCAGCAGTCACGCGCACAACCCGCCCACGCGCCGCTCCGCCACCTCCCGCCTTTCAGAGTACTACAACTCCCGGCACACATCGCGGCACGGACGCAAGAAACGCCGCTTTACCGCTGACCCTAACGACGCCGCGCCGTTCGGCCCCGCCCAAAACTACAATTCCCATCAGGCAGCGCGCTGTCGCGCTCTCCGGAACTGGAAAAGAGCGGTTAGGAACCGTAGTTGCTAGCGGAGCGGTAGGATGCGGCGCGGTTTGGCAGGAGCTGTGAGTACGGAGCAGGCTGCTGTCGAGAACAGTGGCGCTGAGGAGACGCTGTGCCGCCTGCGCAGAAAACTGAGGAGCGGGGCTGCGCCTGCCGCCCTTGAGGAGACGCTGACATCGCGCTGTGCTTTGCTGTTGAAGTAGCCGAGGCTCTTCTCAGCTGTGGTGTCTGGCACACGTGTAACCAGTAAAGACAATACTGTAGGACTTGAAGAGGGGTTTATTTCTGTGCCTAAGGGTAAAAATAAGCGCAGAGCGCTCTGTGCCTTCGTGAGGGAATAAGACCGCGTCCCTCCGCCCCTCGAGATACATCGGAGGCAGGGCTGAAAAGCCCGAGGAGCGCCTGTACGGTGCGAGGAAGGTGAGAGGCGGGCTTTGGCGTTGGTGTTTCTGTAGGACTGGCAGGGCGGTGAGCTCCCTTCCCCTCAGCTGCAGCAGGGCGGGGCGTTCCGCCCCTCAGCAGCCATGGCAACCTTCTGTCCTCAGAACAGCCCACTGTAACGACGCCCAAAAGCTGAAAGCGTGTGCTCTGAACAAGTAGAAAGTGCGGCTGTTTTAGTTGAGAAGGCTAATAAAGCGTAGTCGTTTATCTTTTAGGAGTGTGCTGAGGATACAGGTGGGCTGGGAGCACACTGTGATGGGCTGGGCTCCTCTTTTTTCCCTTTAGCAGAGGCACAGTGGTGGTATTGTGAGGAAAGCATCATTCCAACTGTGGCCAAGGCATGCGAAGGTCTACATTTGTTGAAAGAATTAAGTTTATGTCTTAAAGATATCACTTGAAAGTGCCCCTTATTGCACCCCTAGCTGAGAACTTCTGGAAGTTTCCACATTCCCCCCTTCACTCTTGCTGCATTGGAACGATAGTAGAGGAACAGTGTGCTTTGTGAGTTGTGTGAGAACGTGGGCCTATAGCATGAGCTTTGCTACTTCAAGCACTCATGCTTAATGCTATCTGCTCTTCCGTACCGCTGCAAATTTGCTTGTGTTGTTTTGCAGTAATTTTTCAGATAGTAATGGCTAGTAGCTGCTGTAGTGTGTAAGTTGGTGTTTCTGTAACTTTAATCCCTTTTTTATTCTTGCTTATGCCCTTCAACCTCCTTACTTCAGATTCTCGTAGTTTAATTCCAGACACACGGAGCCAATTCCTCTCTTTATGTGTGAAGTTAATTTCGTGTGTTTTCTTTTTTTTTTTTTTTGGGGGGGGGGTGGGGGGAGAAGGGGAGGACAGGGCACAAGAGGGCTGAATAGGGAAATCTCTCTTGGAAATAAGCAATGTTAAGATGTTGAGGTTGAGTATGGCACATGGCTCCATCCAGTTGCAGATGGTATTTTTATAATCTGTCTTGCTTTGTTATGCTTTAAGAAACACTGAGCTCTTCAATGCGATTGCTTGTCACATTGCTGTATGCTTCCATCAGGTTTAATCACTTAGGAAGTGCTTTCTGAAGAGGTCATTTGGAATTCTGTGGAAAAATCTCACAAGCTTTTAGAAATGATGCTGGAAATAAGGCTGCAAGGAAGATAACTTGTTTCAGTGTTTGTGGCTGAGATTGTGTTAATATTAACAAAGTAACTGTAGGGCAGATTTGCTGTTCAATGTATTCCCCAAAGAAGAAAATAAACATAGAGACACCAGTTATTTTATGTTAGTAACAGAATGAATTTTAATGTCAGATGCTATGTCTATTTTGCCTAAAACCAGGTTACAAGTTTAAACTATGTGTATCTAAAATATACTTTTATTAAAAAGGTTGAAGTTTTTCACTTGCGTTTGGACACAGGAGAAAGCTGAATGTTTTGTTTCTGTCTCTTCATAATGAAAGAACTAACTTTTCATGAGAATATTGAGAATATTACCTGAGGTCACTGGAATTTAGATTTATAACAGCTCTATTTTGCCATTTGTTTGCTAGTCACGTTGTCTTGCTAATAAAACCGGCTTTCATGCACAGTCCTGCTATATTTGTTTACAATTTGACTATTTCTGTGTTTTTGTTGCATCTGGTAATGGATTGCTGCTGACACAGTTTTGTGTACTTATGCAACGAACACGTGTGTGTTTGGTTGTTGGTTAGTTGTTGCTATTGTTTGCTCATTTGGTTTCTTTGTTGTCAGTGAGTGGATTTCATTCATACTGAAAATAGCAGGTAGATTCCTGTAGTATTACTGTAGCAAAGTTGGGTGTTTTTTGTTTGGTTGGTTTTTTCTGCAGGAGACAAATAGTGCAAAATCAGCATTTTCCCCCTTGACTGTTACTGTGCTGAAGTTTTTGAAGCTTGATTTAATAGACCACAAACATTGTGGAGTGGTGGTTGTAAAGTGTTTGAGTTCTTGACCTCTGTGAAACCACAAAAAATGAAAAAATCAGTTACTGTGACCAAGGCAATCGCATCGTGGAGAGAGGTGTGAGGACTGCATCCTCTCCTTGGTGCCATCATGAGGCAAATGTGGACTGATCATCTGGAGTTGAAGGTTTCTGTAATAATGTTGGCAGTGACACCTAATAATGTCCTCAGTAGGAAAGCTAGATTGAGAAAAGTCGATGACTACATATAGCACTGAGTTGACACATAACAAAGAAGTTTGATGGAAGCTAAGATTATTGAGGAGCTACTTGACAGTTCATGTCATTAGAATTGTTCTGTTGGTTAAAATGTCAGCGTGATGCGGGCCTCAATATCATGAAGCGTTATTTCTGTGCCCAGCAGCAATGAAACTGCAAATAAAATTGGGCTCATTTGCAATCGCAGATCACTTTGGGCTTTTATACCACTATCCAAACATAAGAAAAATGTGATCAGTATGTTGTAAGTAGTGAAAGATGGAAATAATCCTTTGTCGAAAATTTTAACAAAATAATCAGAAGATTGGAAGCAGAGTTGAGTTAAAAAACTTACTGTGGTGTAAGGAGTTGAATTTTTGTGAGGAACAGGACAGTATGGCTTCTTGTCAGGCTGAAATAACGTAGGAGTTTATCAGGAATGCTTACGTGATATTAGATAATGTTATTTATTTGCACTGGTAGTATTTGAAATCTTTAATTACTTTGGTCAATGTAACTTGTGCTTTATAGTTTTGTTGGAAACTGCATTTAGGTTAATCCTTTTTTTTTTCCTTCTGGACAAGTCACGAGGAGAGTTATTTGTGATAGAAGACTTCACTGGCTGAAGAGAAGTGTATCTCTAGCATCAGTTTTGGTTAGCAGACACTCCCTGGAATGTCTGTGGATTGTACTGTGTCACTTAGGTCTTCTGATGCTGATTTTTCCTAGCATCACTGTTAGTTTCCCAGTGCTTTTTAAATTTAATATGGATTTATATTGGCTGTTTATATTGGTGTGTAACAGCAGGGGGGGAGGGGAGGGAAGATTGTACAAAGGGCAGTGTATTTTTTTTTCTTCCTTTTTAATGCAGTTTCTGCCTGAATTGACTTTATGGTCATCATCTAGTTGCATGTACTGGAAAAGAAGAAGCAGTAGTTGTTAACGTCTATCTTCATACATTACTCTGAAACGAATGTAGTGCTTTCTCACATTAATACTTCCCTAGTCTCACTTTGTCGTGTAGCTAAGTTTTCTGTTGCCTGGAGAAAGAAATATGTTCAGATTTATGAGAATTGTTCATAGGAGAATCTCTGTCTTAGAAAGTAATTTCTACGATGACAATGATTGAAAGAAGACTAAGAGAACATTGTCATTACTTTTAGATAAAGTAATTGTAGTCTCACAGCTTAAGTTACGGATGGAAAAGAATTTTATTTGAATTTTGTTGTTCACAGATAAGGCGTGTCTGCTGTAGCTGGAACCATGGGAGACCTGCCTGTGAGAGACATGGGTTCAACTCCACCTAGAAGTGGAGGATTAGTAGGTTTGTACCAGCTGCTATGTATTACTGTTACAGACTTTGATCCGTGGCTTCTTTAGGTTCTTTCTGAAAATGTTTCTGACATTCACGCTCAGAAAATTGAGTTCAAATAACATTGCAAATCTGGATTAAATTCTGAAAGGTAAAAGATACAATGACCCATTCTTTGTTCATGTTACTTGTTATAAGAGAGGCACTGCTGCAAGATGTTACAAACTGCATATTCTTCATCCTTCCTGGGAAAAAAGAAGGCTTTTTTGCTGAATTGAGAACAAGGCCAGACCCATTAAACAAAATGGGAACCAAAGTAGGAAGTAATTCTGACATGCTACTAGGTTGCTATTAGAATGGAATTACTGGATTCAGTCTTTTATCTGAGTGAATTTACAGAATTATGAGTTAATCTTTTCAAGTTTTGTAACAATATGTTTACTTTGAAATATATTAGAAAGGGCTGGACAGGGTCATCTTACATTTTACTGTCTTTGACAGTATCATGTTATTTGCTAGACAATTTCCTTTTTGTTGTTCAATAGATAACTGGTTTGCTATATCATTTTAATTACTTTTTTAATCTGTCAGAGGTGAGAAAAAAGTAATTAATATACAAATAAATGTGGAAAAAAAAAAACTCATACAAATGCAAAAAATGGAATTACTCAGGAACTTCAAAACTTCAATATTTCAAAGTGAGAGACTGGATTAAGTGTTGTTGAAGTGCATTACAGGTATTGAAAGTAATCTTAATGTATGTTGGTTTGGGTTGAATTTTCAGCACCTGCACGCAATGTTAAAGCTCGGCGAGCTGTGACACAATTCAGTCAGAAGGAGCTGGAAGATAAATATCTTTGTTTACGTGATGAAAACATCTTGCTTAAGCGGCATGCAAATAAGCAAGAGGAAACAATTAAAAGGTATGAGCTTTTTTTTTTTTTTTTTTTTTAGTTTTGGTTTTATTTCAGTTCAGAGTAACTGTTTTGCTACTTCAGGTATTAATTGTCAACAACAAACTTACAGTTGTGCTGATTTTTCTCAGAACACTCTTTAAAGTGATCTCTGAAAGCTTGATATTCCCTTCTGCCCAATGGAATCTTCATGTGGTGCATTCTGCAGTCCTTGCATTGTGAACCTATTTTCTCCTAATTAATGGAAATTGTACTGGTTCAAATGAAACATCTGGAAATAATGTTGTTGTGCCAACCTATCAGGTCTTATAGACATGCTTGAGGATTGAAGAGGGTTTAGTCAAAAGAAGAGTTCACCTTTAACATTGTCAACAGGTACTGAAGAAAGACAGGGTGGACATGAATGATGGTAAAGATCAATCAGAATTTAGGAGGATATGAGATTTCTATTAGAAGAAGAAAAGGGAAGTAGCTCTCTTGTTTTAAAAGCAGACATGAACTTGCAAAAAAAAAAAAGCAGATGTTCTTGTGTATTGTTTGTATTGCTTCAGTGTTGTTAATTTGTGTTATGACAATTAAAGAAATAAACGTAGGTGTAAAGTTTGGATTGTTTTGATGATGTACTTTTCAATTAAAGAAATCCAGAAATCAGTTTCACTGCTTCCTTAGTATAGTTAGCTGTGGTCTGAGCACTAAACGTAAGTACAAAAGTGTCTCTTACACTTTTAGCTGATGTCTCAGTAATGTTTTTGTTGTTACAACCGTAAAGGGTTTTTCTATACATCTCCAACAGATGCTTTGAACAAATAATATGGAAGCATCAACGTTTTCTCTCCATACACTTGTTTTCTTAGCAAAGTTGCTTAATCTTGTTCACAAGTGAGATGTTCATAGAGAAATTGGTATATGAATTACTACTACCTTGTCTTTATGGACTGAGAAGAAAATTCTGGCTGTTTTTTGGAGAGATGAGAATTGAGATGCATTCTGAAGCGAGGTCTATGTCATTCAGTTCTCAATGAAGAAATTATTGACTAGGATAATATGGAACAAAAGACTTCATTTTTAACTTGTTCTTAGCAGATGGAAACAAGGAGAGCTGTACACTATGATCAGTGAGCTATCCAGAAATCACAATTGGAGCCTCCAGTTATACACCAATCGTAGTGTAAAAAAATTTATACTGATTCGTAAGATCAGTACCTTTGCAAAAAAAAAAAAAAAAATTAAAAAAAAAAAAAAAAAATCACTTAGTGCACTTTATTTTTGTTTTAATCTCTGATTGTCTGTGTGTATATGGGATGCTTTCCTGGTTGGCAGTATTTATAGCTCCATCTAGGAAGTTGTAAAGTTGTGCCTCTATTTGCCAATTTGCAGCTGGTACTTTGAGTACGTAGTGCTATCTTTGTACATACGATGGATATTCTGAAGAAGAGGCTATGGAAGCCTAATTATTCATCAGCACTTTTACCTCAGAATCAAAATGATCCTTGCAGAAACATTCCACTCCTTGTTTTTTGTCCTTCTCTGTCTTCCTAGAAGCTGAGTAACATTTGACCTTTATCATTTTGCTAACCTCAAAGCTCTTTTACAAATATGGTTGGCAATCCTTTCTTCAGCATAAGAGATACCTTTGCTGAAGCCCTGGGTAGCATCACATCTGTGATACCATTGTACACAAACATAGACAAGCAACTTCCAGTTGATTTGCTAAAATTTAATGCTGTACAAGCAATCTCAGTCTATGTTCAGCAGAACTCTGTGGTGCTGTGCTGTGTTCATGCTGTGCTGTTATTGAGATAATATTTACTAAATCTAAGATATCTTCTGGTCTGAAGTTAATGAATTCCTGAAGGAGCATCTGGAGGTACTGCCGCTTCCTTTATTTTATTGTTTTAGACTATTTTATTATTTTATACCTTTTTAATGTCTGAAAGGTTCTTTCCAATTGATTTCAGTAGTCTCTGAGTCAAGATCAAATAAACTAGCTTAACTTCCATCTTTTTAATCAGGCTACTATAAAATACAACATGGTGGAGCGACTGATTTGTTTGCTCATTCCAAACGGCATGTCCAGTGTTTTTGTTAAATGGTTTACCAACTGCACTCATCTGCATGGGTAAAATTGGACAGAATGTCCAGATTGGAATGTCTGAACTAATAATTTAAGGCACAAAGAGTCCAGAAATTCTCAATATTGTTTTTGTCTTGATCACCAGAGAGGAATCAATTCCTTAAGCTGAATTTCTCTCCCAGCATCTCTCATGTATCTAGAAGCTTGGAATGAATTTGCAGTAGAGAGTAGAGTTGGGGGGGAAAAAAAAAAAAAAAAAAACCAACCAAACAAACAAAAACAAACCAAAAAGCCTGTTTACAGGCAGGTAATGTTCTGTGACTTCCTAAAGTTATTACAGGTTTTTTATGTTTCGCTTTTGTTCTTTTAAATAGAAGCTCCTGTCCACAAGTATACCAAAATAAAACAAGCCTCTTCAAATAAATGAAGTGTGTCCTTATTTTCAATTTTCTTTCTGAGCCTGCAAAAATAAAATTCCCTGTAAACTAGAGACTGGTTGAAGATGTGTGACCAATTCTGTAAAGTCTTGAACTTGTCTTTCTCATCAAAGCCACCTTTTCTTTCTTTATATGCCAAGTTTTTTCCATTCACTGTTGGGTATGTTTTCTGTTCTTGTATATTATATCACCTCCACGTGCCCCCTCTGCCTTTTGTTCTGGCTTACCAATGTTTGTCAAAACTAAAGGAAATCAAAGGTGCAACTCTTAAGATGCCAAAAGCAAAATTTGTATCCTTTTAAAGACAAATAAAAACCATGCCCTCTGTATCTACTTATATTCTTCAGCCAACTGTTCGTTCTCTGAAGCACATTGGTAATATTTACTGAATGTAAAATTGAGTATGGTAACATCAAATATTTAGTCTTTTTTCTGAGTACTTTCTTAAGTATTTCCACCTATGCATTTTAATGGTTTAAGAACTGAAGTGTGTATGTAAATCCTAAAATGCTATAAATGATCAATCTTTGGAATGTTGCATATTACTAGCATTCTTTCAATATTTGAATGTCTTGTGGAATTGCAGCTTTTATAGTTTGGCCCACCACATCCCAAATCTGTAACTTTACTTAACAGCATGCAGAGGTTCCTATATAAGGTCATGCGTTAAAAATTGCATTTAAGGAGCATATGGAGTAAATATGTGTCCTCCCTTTACTAACCTTAAATGATAAGCCTTAGGAAACTGTTATTTGTCAGTGCTATAAAGCAGATTGCTGCACAGTGGTTTCAATTATCTTCAAAGAGTTCTTCACAGGCAGTAATAGTTATATCAAAACCTGAAATTTATTATTCAGGTTCTATGCTGAAATCTTCACAGTGATTATGTTCTTTTCAACAGAATGCTTTTTATGCTGACTTTTCACATTCTTTTTCATCTTTTTTATTATTTTCCCCAGAATGGCCACCAGGTTAATACGGCTTGTTAAAGACAAAAAAAGGAATGAGCAGATTGGTGGCAGCCCCAAGCGGCTGGGTCGTACTGTGGAGCTGGAAGAAACGATTGAGCAGTTGCAGGGGAAAGTTCGTGATCTGGAGAAACAAAATGAGATCCTCCGCAGCAAACTCATTTCAAACAAACAGCAGGTCCATGTTCAAAGCCATAGGCCTGTTCAATACAAATATGCTCAGTCTCTCGTTAACACTGGACTCAAAAAAGCAAGTGGTGCTGCTGGCACACTGGAACACACAAAGAAAGGTAAAATTCATGTATACTGAGCGTAGTATTTTATACATGTAACGCCAATTATTGCTTAGCTGAAGAAGAGTATGTCTTTTTCTGAATATCAGTGTACATTTGTACCTGCAGGCAGAAATATCACTGTTTTCCCCCTTTTCATATATTTATAGCAATCATGATAACTTGTGTTTTAAGTCCTTATTTTGAGAATCCACAGTAGTAGGGGTGAAACAAAAGTACAGATTTGAAAATAAAGTAGTTATCAAACATGTTTCCTAATAGTTAAAATTGAGAGACTTTCCTATAATATCTCTAAATGTCTTATAAAAGTATTATATGAGAATGTTTAGCATTCTCATAACAAAGTTTTACGTCTGTAGTTTGTTTGCACATTATTTGGCTTTTAATTTCAATGTTTGTTCTCATCTCTCTATACATGTGTGCACAACTCTCTAGACTTTGGGGAAAAAAAAAATCTATTACATGCATGGACTTCTGAAAGCAAATACCACAGTGCAGCCATCATTAATGATGCTTTTTACTTTCAAGACTTACTTGCTATGGTAGCCTCGTTCTCAGTTACTTACTTCTGGTAACTATGGTTGGAAATTACACTTCACAACTTTTCTGTTTCTATAAGAATATTTGCAGGAGTTGTACTGAGAGCTATTTTTTTTTTAATATTAATAAAAGGCAAATTTATTAGTCTGGATTTGGAGCTTCCAAGTTAGCAGAATTGTCTCTTGAACTTCCCCAGACTATGAATTTTGCTGATGGCCACTTGTGTTGTGCTTTTCTTGCCACTGGTCTTTATTTTGGTTATCTTGATTATTCAACAAGCCCAAACTGCAAACAATAATCATGTTTTTAGAAAGTTAATGAAAAGCAATGAGCTCTACCGCTCTGAATTTGAGTATATGGAATATACAATAATATAGTTGAAAATTTTTACACTTAATATTCTTTTTTTTTTTTTTCCTCCTCTAAATAATACAAAGATAGAGTTGAAACATGATAAATTTACTGAGGCCCAATGCTAGCAGGGAAAGATGGGTTACTTGCTTTGAGGATTGAAGAGCAAGTGTTGATTGGTTATGTTGTGAGGATTTCTCTTGGCATAAGAACAGATCCAACTCAAGTGATTACAAGTCCATTTTCAATTGTTGTTCTTTAAAAATACCATCTCAGTTCTGTCTTTCAAATTAAACTTCCGAAGAAAAATATTTCAAGACCTATTTTAACATCTCTCTTTACCAGTGTATACTGTGTTGCCTGTAGTTCAGATTTTTTGATAGCTACGATTGCAGGTACCCTAATTATCTCTCTATGTGAATTTCACAAGAAAATGCTTTTAATGGCATCTATAGAGATGTTTTAAGTGTTCCTACTGTAGGCATTATATTTATCTGCAAAATGCTTTTTCATTTGACATCACAAAAATTTCTTTCTTATTAGGAATGGGAGTGCAGTGTTTAGAAGTGAGACCACCCCAAACTGTTCCCCAACGATGTGGCCAGAGTCTGCTTGAGGATGCAAGAGCTAAAATAAGAGATTTGTATGTTATTCATATTGTTTCATTTCTGTCATTGTAACTCTTAGAAATTATGGTTTTCTTGAAGAAAAAATTACTCTTTTCCAAAGCTAAAAGAAAATGAAATTGTTTAACTTCAGTGCTAACAAAAATTGTTTTTATCACCTTGATGTTCTTATCCCTAAAACCCATGGAGCTACATGCCATTGATAGAATGGAATTTACTGATGTTTGAGTTGCACTGATGTTAGCATAGTCTCTGTGGTTTAGCCCTATTTGAGCAGATAGATTTTATTTTAAAGATATTTTTATATATACTAGTATGCTGTATGAAAAAATCTTTAGTAGCTTTATAGAAGGGCCTAGAAGCAACTCCTTATCCTATACTAATCACTTTGAGTACTAAGAAAACAAGAGCTGTTTAAGACTGCCAGGAATCTAGGTGTTCACAGCAGTTTTTCTCTTATTGTGTAAACTCTAATGGGGAAAAAAAAGTGTTAAAATGTCAAAAACATTCAGGTAGCATTTCTTTCAGATATTTCAATTCACACAGTTGGGAAAAAAAAACCCTTAGTTGCTCTAACTTTAGGGTGGAGCAGCCAAGTGCAAGAGTGTGACCAGAAAACTATGTGATACTTTTTATGTCTACAATTGGCATATCAGGGAAAGAAGAACTGTAGCTTATGCTTCAAAAGCTTTAGAGTACAGAGAAGTATGTATTTATTTTATTAAATGCTTACCTGATTTTGGAACGCAGTATACTTGTTCTGGCAGGGAAACTGTGATCAATTCCCAAAGGGAGCGCATTGAGGAACTGGAGCATCTTAAAGAGCTACTTGGGAGTCAGCTGAGAAAGAGAGAAAAAGAAATCGAAGAATCTGCCCTACATGTGAAAGAGCAAGAGGCAGCAAAACAAAGGTACTGTGAAAAATGAAAGTCTCCATGATCTGAACATTAGAGTATGTGTTCTATTCATTTCTTTTTCTTTGATGAAACTAAGTTATATCATATTGTACCAAATGACTGTGGATAGTTCTAAGTTAGGAGAAAGTTATGATAATGCTTTGTGATGATTGTTTTTTGCTTGATTTTTCTTTTAAGCAAACAAATAACATTTTGGAGAATTGATTTCCAGCTGAGTCAGATTCCACTGAAGTTGAGATCATTAAACTTTGTTCATCTGTCAGTTCTTCAATACAAACTCAGATAAACATTCTTGTGAAATGTCTCACAGTAAAGTGTTTGTGAATTTGATCTCTTCTTTCACTCTTTCTTCTTCCAGTTTTACAACAATTTGTGCAGAATTGTGTAACTTTAGATATATTTGCCTACTGTTTCAAATTCAACCTGGTACTTTTGTGTTAAGGATCAAATAGGGTCCTGTTCTGTTCCTTCCTCATGAGATGTCAATGGAAGTTTTACTTGGATGGGGGGGAGACATATAGTTACTTTTGCCTTCCTAGGGGATCATGTTATTATATGTGTGCATTCTTTTGTGCTTCAGTAATGTCACCTAAACCAAACTTGATAACAGATATGTTAAGTTCTTAAGAGTTACTTTGTCTGGCTGAAGACACTAAGAAAGCTGAAAGATGTGTATTAATAACTAGAAGGGTGTGTCCCTCATAATTTCACTGCTAGAATAGTTAATGGAAAGCTATTAATTCCCATGTTTTTCAAGTCTTATTGTTTGCACTGAGTGAATCATAGCTACTGTTCTCAGCAGGTTTATGTGTAATTGTAGGTACCTGTAGAAATTATCTTTAGGTTTTCATTAGCTTTCATTCTTGAAAATCCCGTGTTACTAAGAACAGGCTGCATTAATGGTTTCACTCAAATAAACACAAGAATGACAAAAAATGTCTAATCTTCTTTGCATCAACACAAATTTTTAAATAGTGCTATGAGGAAAAACTGGAAATTCAGGTAACTGGTAAGGTCCTCTTATTTTGCTTTTATAGCATATGTCTTTCAGTTTTTCTACAGTTGGCAACTTTTCCTTGTATCTTCTTAGAATACACTTGGCTGTCATCTAATTAACTCCCCAGACACAGGGGAGTTAATTTGTTATAATTGTTTAGAAACTGTGAGATGCTAAAAGAAAGATGCTTTCTCCAGTTTTCCTGTATGTAACTTCCAAACTTTAGGAAAGCATTCTTTATTCTCCTAGCTGATTATGAAATTGTTGTGATTTGAATAACTGAAGGATTTTTTTAATGTAGTAAAGCAGCTACAGTTGATACTCATGGATTTATCAGCAATAAGGGAGAAAGATGCTTGTTATTCCCAGTCCTGTAAGTGAAGGAAGCCCATTAATATTTTAAAGCTATCTTTGCTCACTCAGCTTTCTTGACTACAATTTCTATATAACAACACAAGAATGACATAACAATACACTGCAATATATACTGTAGGGAACCTGCTTTAGCAAGGGCATTGGTCTTAATGATTCCCAGAGGTCTCTTCCAATCCCTACAATTCTGTATGATTGTGTGAATTTAGCTGTTACACAGCATCCACCTTGGTTGATCATTGTAACGCATCTGCAGCCAGTGTTTATTTCAGTATTTCATTAGTGACTGTTTGGGGGTTGTTTCAGAAAAATGAATTCTGGCTTAATTCTAACTCAAGGAACTTGAATTAGAACACTAACTTGTGGATTGTTAGACTAAACCGTTTCTTAAGTACAAACTTCAATTGCATTTAGCTTGAGTGTTTCCAAATTAAAAGTGGCCAGAAAGCATTATAATCTCATGTTTTGTTGTCTGTGACATACAGTGTGTTAGTTAAAACTTTCAGTCTCAATAATCACAGTTTGTGAGCAGCGAGCTTCAGTACCTTGGATTCTCATGCTAATTTCCACAAATCATTTTAAAAACCATCTCTGGAATGCACCAGTAAAACAGGTATTTGGCATTTATATCTGTTCGTGTTTTCTAGGTTTTTGACTACTTCTGCCGCTTCTTTTGTAAAAATAAGGAAGCTTATTTGTCAGGTTTTTTATTCCTTTGACTTTTTTTTTTTTCTTTTTTCTGCAAGGTTGTTCTGGAGTTGCACTTGCTACACTTTGGGATTTCTAGACAGGAAACATCATATTTGATGATGTACTGCTGACTTCAGTGTTTGAATTATAACATTGCAGACCAGGACTAAAATGTGGAACATGTTAGCCTCATTGTATTTGTATTGTTTCGAGAGACTGCAGCATGTATAGGGCTCTTCTAAATCGTATCAAATATCAAAACAACTTTAATTAGTGTTTCCATATCAGATTTCTCATGCTGAACCTATTTTCCTAAAGATCATGATGTTTTTGTCATTTGGGGTTAGCTCTATCAGCTAGACAAACAAATACAGACTTTTATACTGGCATCAAAATAACCTTCATAATGTATGTATGTATGCTTCCAGCTATTGATACCATTGCTTTTGTTTTCTACAACTATGCTTTCAGTTACACAACGTAAAGGTGTTACTAAAAGGTCATTGTTTTTTCTCTCTTTATCTTTCACTTCCTTTAAGGGACAAGAGGTAAGGGAAAGAACAATAATGTATGTCAGTATATGATTTTGTTACTTCCCAAGTGTTGTAAAATAAAAGGGTACTGCATATTGCTGTTCTTTTGTTTACTTCTCTTCTTGGGAGTCCTGTCTTGCTCTTTGGTGTAGTCGTGGTTGTCCGTGCCTGGGAAGATCATGGAACGGATCCTCCTGGACAACATGCTCGATCACATAAAGAATGAGCATGTGATCCGAGACAGCCAGCACGGCTTCACCAAAGGAAGGTCATGCCTAACTAATCTTGTGGCCTTCTATGATGGAGTGACGGCATTGGTGGACGAAGGGAAGGCGACTGATGTCATTTACCTGGACCTGAGCAAGGCCTTTGACATGGTCCCCCACCACATCCTCATCTCCAAATTGGAGGGAAGTGGATTTGATGGGTGGACGACCCGATGGGTAAGAAACTGGTTGAAAGGCCGCAGACAGAGGGTGGTGGTCAATGGCTCTATGTCCAGGTGGAGGCCGGTAACAAGTGGTGTCCCCCAAGGGTCTGTCTTGGGACCGGTGCTCTTTAACATCTTTATTAATGACATCGATGAGGGAATTGAGTGCACCCTCAGCAAGTTTGCTGACGACACCAAGCTGAGTGGTGCGGTTGATACGGTGGAAGGAAGGGATGCCATTCAGAGGGACCTCGACAGGCTGGAGGGCTGGGCTCGGGTGAATCTAATGAGGTTCAACACGGCAAAGTGCAAGGTTTTGCATTTGGGCCGGAAGAACCCCAGGCACCCGTACAGGCTGGGAGGAGTGGTCCTTGAGAGCAGCTCGGCAGAGAAGGACCTGGGGGTCCTGATGGACGAGAGACTGAACATGAGCCAGCAGTGCGCTCTGGCAGCTCGAAAGGCAAATGGGATCCTGGGCTCCATCAGGAGAGGGGTGGTCAGCAGGGACAGGGAGGTGATCGTCCCTCTCTACTCGGCTCTTGTGAGGCCCCATCTGGAGTACTGTGTCCAGGTGTGGAGCCCTCAGTACAAGAAAGACATTGAGATTTTGGAAAGGGTCCAGAGGAGGGCGACTAAGATGATCAGGGGGCTGGAGCACCTCCCCTATGAGGACAGGCTGAGGGAGTTGGGCTTGTTCAGCCTGGAGAAGAGAAGGCTGCGGGGTGACCTCATTGCAGCCTATCAATACCTGAAGGGAACCTACACCCACGAGGGGAGTAAACTCTTCAAAAGGGCTGACAACAGCAGGACTAGGGGAAATGGATCGAAGTTGAAGGAGGGAAGATTTAGGTTGGATGTTAGGGGGAAGTTCTATACAAGGAGAGTGGTTAGGCCCTGGAACGGGCTGCCCAGGGAGGTTGTGGATGCCCCGTCCTTGGATGTGTTTAAGGCCAGGTTGGACGGGGTCCTGGGCAACCTGATCTGAATGTGTGTGTTTGGTGGCCCTGCTAGGCAGGGGGGTTGGAACTACATGATCCTTGAGGTCCCTTCCAACCCGGGTGATTCTGTGATTCTGTGGTTAAACACTGTTAGCCTAGAAGCCTTTTGCTTACTTTGCCAGACAGAGTATATGTGAGCCTGGAAAGTGTAGCAGTGGTATTCTTTGTGTTTGTTTTTCTTGTTCTGAATGTGATTAGGAGAATGTTTGAGAACTGCGAGTCCCATTTGAAAGAACTGTCAGGACTCTCTAAGAGCAATCTTGGTTTTGTATCATTGTCCTGCTCATATGGAAGTAAAGACTAGATGCAAGAGATGTGGTTTAATTAGGCCTCAATTTTATTAGCTTAGCCATCTGGGAATTACTGGCATAAATTTGTACAGTGCTGGTCAAGATTCTTTAATTAATCATTTCCTTCTGTTGAAGGTTGCTATTGGACCCCCATTTCCACACAGCTGCTCCCCAGTCTATTGTTGGGATCCTACTCTATTGTTTTAATCCAAAAGATATGAGGCCTGGAAAAGAGATTGTTTTCACTGTTCTGCAAATATCAACCCCAAACTTAAGACCTAGTATTTTAAAGAGTCACTTTCTCCTAACTGCATTTCAATTCCAGTCTTTTAATCTAGCTTTTAAATGAAGTTTAGAGGGGAAAGACAGTTTATATTCCTTATTTCTGTGCTTGTGGCAGAAAGTATGTTAGAGCTAAATCAACGTGCTCATTAATCAAGGGTATTGCTACAAAAGGGCACCAGTTTGTTTTCATTTTCTGACTTCATCTGCAGATATGCCTTTGTATCTCCTGGATCTGCAGCAGAAATTTTGTCTTTTAGGGCAGTAGAGAAAATATTGAATGTGTGATCATGGTTCAGCTTTATTCTTGTAGGTTATTTGTTAAATTTTGAGGAAAATATTACCTGTATTAGAGAAAGGTAACATGGTCTTTTAAATTCTTATTTATCTCCTATTTTAAACCACTCTACAAAATGTGGGAGGATGTTCTGGGAGCAAAATAAGTCAGCTACCTGGGAGGTAGTGTGGATAATCACTTTGTCTTCTGTTCTACTGTTTTGTGACTTCATTTATGGAAAACCAAAATAATCTTCCTCAATTAACTTCCTTAACTAAACCTGAAATTATTTTGCTCTTAAACAGCGTGCTCCTTGTCATGTAGCTTCCTGGGATAAATACTGTTACAGTTCTAAGAATGGATAAAAATATGAAAAGTAATTTTTCTTGCCTGAGTTTAACTAATTTACTGATAATATCAGTACCCAAAACCTGTTTAAATCAAGTAGTGCTTTATTCATTGTTGAAAAAATAGTTAATGTTGATTGTCAGGAGCCATGGGGTTTACATCTGTACATCATAAATTTCTCTATCATCTGCTCCTTTTTTTACTTAAAAGAGAGAAAAAAAAAAAAGCTCTCTGCTTAAAAAAAGAAGGGGGGAGGTGGGGGGAAGGAAAAGAAAAAGCCTTTGAAGGCATCGGAGCCTTTGTTTGATGTGTGGAACAAGATTAATAAAAACGTGCCACTACATTAGCTTTTAAATAGCTAGCATGAGACGACGCTGCTGTCTGTACTTACCATAACTTTAATTTATGTAGATAGCATGTTTTAGGCACATGATTGTCTTAGCATTGTGTTAGTGTTTCTTGGGGATTTCTGAGTATGTTTATCTCCTGTGTAAGGACAATTAACTTGGCAATGCCAAAATACAATGAACTTTGTTATTTTAAAGCATAAGAGGAAAGTATTTTGCATTCTCAGCTGGTTTACAGATGAATACATTTTTTTGTCTATTTTCTTGGTCCAATCTGGCACTATGACAATTCCTCCGATATACCTAAAACAAATAAATATTGGATGAGAAATTACTTTTCAAATGATCAAGATTTGTTCTGCTAAGTCAGTTTTCTTAACAATATTTCATAGGTGTAAACTGTAAAAGAAAATTCCATAAAATGGTAACAAATACTTCGAAAGGTGGAAAAGAATTGATTGGAAAACAAATAATCTCTAGGTTATGGATTGTTTTCTTTTTCTCTATTATGTAGTGTATGGTAAAACCAACATCTCTGCATATTGATTGCTCCTATGAATCCTGAATTACTTACATTCTGTAACGTAAATCATAGAAGGCAAAATTAAGTTGGCTACCACATGCTAGATCTTCTCCCAAATGTATTGTAGAAAGTTGATTTCCACGATATCAACTTAACAAGACAAAAATAATGGGACAAGTCATTTTGTCATCTTCAAGCTCATGATGTGTTTCTTTTTAATATGATTTTGAAGGTCAAACATTCGAGACAATGTGGAAATGATTAAGGTCCGCAGACAGCTGTTTGAGAAAAGCAGTGCTCTTTCAAATGTGGAAAGAAAATTTCTCCAGCTTCAAGAGGTAATTACGATTTGGACAGTGACATTGCATTACTCTCATATGATCGTGCTTTAATGGAAGATAAGTATACACATCTCTTGATTCCAAATTATTGCTGAATACACAAAATTTATGAGAACACCATCAGAAAATGCAGGATCCTAGTGATATGATATTTTTCTGCTTCTTCACAAATGTGCTAACAGAATTGTGTATGCTTGCAGGGAGTTCATTATTGTTTGTATACACATTTCAATTGGTAAAGCTGAATAATATCTGTTTGCTTAAAAGTTTGTTTAAACTTGAATCAGCCAAGAAGTTGTGAAACTGTGGGATGTTAAGAGCCTAAAATTGTTTTCCGTGTAGTAATATTTGTTGAAGTTGCTACCAAACATTTTTGCAGTTTTGTTGTTAAAGAATTTTAATGTAACCAGTTGAATGAAGGAAATTTAGTAATCTTCATTCAAGAACAAAGGACTCTGAAACTATCTGACTTAAATGCTTGATTATCATAGAATCAGAATTGCTCAGGTTGTAAAAGGCCCTCAAAATCATCAAGTCCAACCACAGCCTAACCCTATTACCCTAACTTTAACACTGATGAATCATGTCTCTGAGCACCACCATCGTATAATTGATTGCAGACTGACTATCCAGGATTTCATGATTTGAAATGTGGAATATGCTAATCAATGCAACTAAAATTTAAGTACTATGAAGAGATAATGCTCTTGGGCAATCAGTACAACTGTTTCTTTTGTGCAGTATTTCTGGGGGGTATATATTCATTCTCTGTAAAGGATTTATTTCATATTGAGGTACGTTTCCCTAAGGAATGCAATTTTAGACTAGGAACATTAAACCTGAAATTATCATCCCAGTTGTTACCAAGACTGGAATCATGGGATATTTTCAAGGAGAACTAAATAGAAAACAGCTTTGGCGTCATCTAAAGCGAAATGCTGACAGCACTGTCAGGTACAGAAGAATACCCAAGAAAATAATGCACTGAGAGGGAGGAGTAGGGAAGTTAAAGTTTATGAAGAAAGTTAATGCAAAACCATCAGTAGAGGCACAGATGCAGAAGAAGAATGAAGTTGAAGCAAGGAGATTTTACTGGAGGACGTTTTCAGAGCTTTTAATGAGAAGTTTCAAAAAAATAAATAGATTGAGAACTGATAAGTGAGGAGATTCAGAATCAGCTAGAAGTAGAAATCAAGACCTTGACTGCTGGATTTGTTTTCAACCCTTTTGGAATTAAGGGAAGACATAAGAGTGAAGTGATCTGGGAAAGGCAGCTTTTCCAAGGTTTCTTTTGTACTTTTTTTTCCTCCTGTACATGTAGTGAGTTGAGTTATTGAAATGGTAAAGAACTTATGAAAAAACTGAATGAGGTGTGGGAAAGACAAGTTCACCTAGACACTTGGAAACAGAAGAATCTTCAAGGCTTGTGATTTCAAGGACCAAAAAAAAAAAAAGGAGAGAACTGAGAAAAGCTGTAGATGACTGATTTTTAAGCTGCCATTTTTTGAAGTTATTGAAAGGCAGTTCACAGATATAGGACAGAGCAAGAGAAGCACTGAAGAAGGACTGTTAAAAATTGATGAGTTGTATACTTTATCTCACTCTGGAAGAGTCTGCCACTGTTGTTTGTTCTCCTTCAGATTGTTCTTACGTAGAAATGAGATGTGAGAGGCCAAAGATATGGTCATTGACTGGGTTTTCTGTGGCCTTTTTTCTTTCCTAGATATTTGTATTTCATGTGAACCTAAACACTTTGCATTGGATTTGCATTCAGCTTCTTCATTTAATTACTTTTTAGGAGTATTTTAAGGAAAATATGAAGGTTACAGTTTTTTGTATATAACCATTAAACATTATCTGTTCTTATACATATATTTGTCATATAGCCATTTTATTAAACAGGAGATTGGCTTTTAGGGTGGTGTTTTTTTTTTTCCCCAAGTCATAATTCAAATGTGTTTTACATGAAAATATTTTATGAGGTATTATTAAATATTACGCAATGCAGACACTGTAACATTAACTAATATTCTGGAAATAGAGTTTCTATCAATAACCTTCATTCAATATAAAAATTGGTTAAATGTGCCCTAATAGTAACAATTAGACTAAATTAAAACTTAAAAGAAATCACAAGTCCTTTATTAAATTACTGCTAGTGATGAAATACAGCCTGGTATATTGGGATTATGAAACAGTTATGTGTCTACATGTAAGGGTTAACAGATCTGCGGCAAGTTCTGTGATTAACATAACTGTGGTCAGCATTCGTTTTTGCTTGCTACTGCAGTGTTTTTGGTCAGCATGTCTAACCACTGTAACCACAGCAAAATCTTTTAATTGTTTAACAGATGTATATCTTGGTTCTTTTCATTATGACTAAATGGGGGGTTTAACGTTCACGAAAGCAACAAGAATGCTACCTTCTCTTGGCCATGTGTAATTGAATTTTTTTCCAGTTTCTTAGTTCAAGAGTGTCTCCTATTGACCACGTTGAGAATGTGGATCAAATGCTGCCAGGAGGGAACACTGTTAGAAAATCACTCATTACAATGATCACTGATTACAGTGATAACATGTTACAATATTCTGCATATTTTTTGACTCTGCCTCCCCATGATTTTCTTCTTTTTTTTTCGTAGAACCAGAGGAATTTGAAGACTAGCCATGATCAGTTAATAGCAAAAAGTGATGAGCTTAGTGTCCAGCTTAAAGAGGAGCAGTTAGAGTGCCTTCGTCTTAAAAACGAATTGCAGTTGGTGACTATTACCAAGCAAAGGACAGAGGAGGTGAGATTGTGTCCAAGACGGCTAGAAACTGCTTTGGGTGATATACACAGATAAGGGAAACTACCTTTTCATTGCTGAAGAGTAAATAGACTTTTCAAACGTATTTAGAAGACTGACCTGATCATACCACAGCTAACACATTGGAGAGAAAATCCCATGGTTGCTACTTGCATTTCATAAAGTTGCAAACCATACTTGTCAGCCAAGCTGCGTAATCACTGCACCAGTGTTTGGACATTGAAGAAATGCACAGAATTTCATTGTCAATTCTAATACTTAACAAGTGGTATGTTAAGGAGAAGCAGTCATAATACTTGACTCGTTGATCGTATCTTGCTATTTATTTACTGAATTAAGCATTTCTAATGCAAAAAAAAAAAAAAATTCTACAACTTAAGACAAAAAAATAACTAGATACTGTTGTTCTTCAGCTCATGCATGCTGACTCACAACCTCACATGAGGATTATGAGAGAGCTCGTGATATGGTGGAAAAAAAGTTTTTGAAGTATTTTGTAGCTTATTAGACATGGTTGTATGAAAAAGACTAGTAAGACTTCCTGACAACACTTACAATATCAAGTTTTAAGTAATCATCTTTTTAAATTCTCACAGTTTACTGTTTGATATTTCCTTACTATCTTTTTGAGTTTAAAATTTTCTTCTTCATTTTAGTTACAGCAAAGAATAAATGATCTAGAGCAAGAGAAGGAAGTCTTGAAGGAAAGCTATGATAAGCTATCAAACAGGTAAATCATTTAATTAAATCTACTGTTTAATGGACAACCTTTTCTGATGCCAGTTAGAACAATGCAAGCATATTAGAGCATGCCTGTTGCCTGCTGTGGGTAGGCCAGTGTCCACGAGTGCCAGGTTATTAATGTTTCCTTGTGTTTTTTTTTTGGTTTTTTTTTTATGATGTTGTTTTTTGTTTGTTTTTTCACAAGGGCTGTAAAAGACGAGCCCTTTTCTTGAAAATGTCATTCTATTGGAAGCTCCTTTCAAAGTTGATGGGAATTTTGCCAAGGCTAAGGCTGAAAATTAGATCTGAAAAGTTTACAAAGAACAAGTATGAATTTGTCAGTTGACTCTTATTATGTAGTCACTATCCAAGAAAACAATTCATTTGGATTAAAGATTGGGAGGAATTGTTTTCATATGACCTTGTAATGCAAATCTAGAAATGCTTTAACCCTCTCCAAAGGAAGCGGTGCCAGATGTGGTTGACCATTTATAGTTACCCAGATGGCTCTGTCTCCAGTCGAATACAGTAACTGTGCAAAGAAATTGCACGTGAATTCAAGTAACAGTAATCTTAAAATTCAAAGGGAGAAAACAGCAGAAGTGGGCTCTGTTCAAAGGGACGTGAATATTAGCATTATATAGGCTTCTTGCCAAACTGATGTTCATTTAAATATCTAAATGCTGAACTACTATCAGAAAATAACATTACTGTGTTATTTATTTTTGTGACTGCATAATCTTTGAAAAACTGAAGTAATGTGTAGCTGCATATTTATGTGAAGTAAGTGTACATAAAGATATTGAATGCATGTATAGCTAGACACAATGGTAAAAAAAAAAAAAAACCTCAAAAATTTTAAAAGTTTGAAAACTAAAGATGATTTATATCTTGTCTTGCTAAGATTTATTCTTTCCTTATCAAAGCCAGTCACACTTCGAAGAGTGGTAAGTCTAAGCAATTGTAAACCATGCTGTCTTTTCTGCAGCTGTGTAACATTACCTACCAAAGTGATTGTGGGTTCTGTGCATTGTATTTACTGCATACTATGTTCAAAACTATGGCACAGCAAGGTTAAGTATATGTTATTGTAGGACTGGAATCATTGGTTAAGTTCACACGTGCTGTGAGAGGCACCATCATCCTGTATGACAGTACGTATTTAGAGAACTGTCTCAAAAAATAGGTGTTTTTTTTTTTCAATTCAAATAGAGATTGGATATGGGTTGAGAAAAAGAATTTAGGGAGCGATGAAAGTATTTCTATGAAGACTGGGAGTCGAGAATGTAAAGTCTTGCTAAAGGTGTTGGAGCTGAGAATTCAAGCTACATTTTTTCTTTAATCTTCAAGTCATTCTTCAAATATGCTGTAGGTATAAATTCATTTTTATGTACTCACAAACACTTTGTGTAGTCACTGTCCTCAAAACTGGCAGTTGCTATTCAGTTAGCATGTACAGTCTTCCAAACTATGTGGGCTGTCCCTTCTGCCCTATTTCTTTCTTCTCTTTGTTTCTTTTTTTCCAGTTGTGGCTTTTGTTATGTGAAATTCTGGAATAGATAGATGAATGGATAGATCGATGGATAGCTGAATGGCAGAAGTACAAAAAGAAAAGTTATTTTTTTAACCAGATAGCTTCACCAAAGTGCATAGTGGAGAGAACTCGCTTATTAATGAATGCTATTGTCAGTAAACTGCTTTATGACTGTTTTTAAGATGAAGGGCATTTTTCTGGTCAATAATGCAACTACTTGATAATAATAACATGAAGACCATGGCACTCAATGTATAAATTACAAGAAAACACAGCATTTACTATGTCTTCTTACCCACTGGGAGTTGTACTGTAAATTAGGTGACGTCTTTACTTACATTTCAGTCTTAACTGCACATTTTGTTGTGGTTTCAGCAGTTCTGATTCTGTGTCTATGCAATCTTTACTACACCCAGATTGGTAGTTTACAAGTAAATAATGTGTTACAGGAAAAATAATTCTTCTAATGTCTGCCCACCTCAGTTTTTTATTTCTTTAAGTGGAAGAAAGATTACTTATTATTTCTTAATCGGTATCAGAATTGTTGTTCTACATTATGAGAAAGCTGTTGTCACTTTGTGGTCAACGTTTCTTTGAACAGGCAACTGACTTTAGGCTCTGCATCTTTCACAGATTTAAAAGAAATCAGGTGGGTGATCCTAGTTCTCTGCATTAAGAGGTTTTGTATGCGGAAAGAATGGTTTTGTTAGTTGTCAGTTGCTGAGGTTTGAAGCTGTGGATTACTCTGGAATATGCATCTGAATTCCTTCTCTAGTCCCACAAATGTTGTGTGTTGCCAGCTTTTCTGACTTTGGAGCTCTAAATTAAGGCCAGTTCCTTCGCTCATCCCACAAACTCTTTCATGTTTTTTAACCACAGCCTGCGAAAGGCGCCTTGGTTTCAACAGCAGCAGACCAGCATATGTTTACTTAATTCCTAAGACATGATGACAGCGGTCTCCGTGCCACAAAAGGCTTTCTTCTTTATTATTTTCTGTTGAAGTTGATTTTGAAAAGTTCTTCATATGCCACATGTTTTATTGCAGTGTCTTCAGTGTGACCCATGAACAGGAATGGAAATTAAAGGAAGAGCAACTGAAACTGCAAATTGCTGAACTAGAGACTGCTATCAAGTCTAGTTTAGCAGAGAAAGATGAAATCCTTGACAAGCTCAAAGTAGAGAGAGGTACATTTTTGAAGTAACTGTTTTTTCATGATGTGAATTTCTCTGGTGTTGGAGTATGGAGATATTCTGCAGAAAAATGTAGTTTCTTAGTAGTGGTGAATTCAAAGCTGACTTTTACAAGGACTTGGAAAAGCGTGCTTAAGTTATGACTATCGTTAGTACAGAAATTGACTCAATACAGGTTATGTGTTGAATGAAGATTCTTAAACTCCAATTGCATTAATTCTTCAGTGGGTCAATATTTTCCCCCTTATAGGCAAGAAGACAGTCTTTTTCCACTTTTAAGCCACTAGTCTATATTCATTTATTGTGTGAGTACAATAAATGGTACATGAAATCTATATAGACCCTTCAATTTAGTGAATTTAGATTATTTTTGTATTTTGAGTGTACACACATTTTTATTCACAGTTGTGTACATTTACCGTAACAACAGGTTTGTTCTTCTCAAAATCTGATTTCATATGTGCTTTTCCTGTGATGTAGAACAACTCAGGGAATCTTTAGAGCCTAGCAATCTGTTATCTCAATATTGTGATATATTGTGCCAACAAGAAGTTTACAGAAAGAGAACGGACAGGAAGTAAACCAAATACTCTACAGATTTTTTTCCTTAAGTGTATATTTTTAAGAGGTAGCACACTTGTGGTCAGTCTAACAGAATGAAGTGAGAGAACTTGTAAGTAGTTTGTATGATTATGGCTCATGTTCGCCTTTACCAGCCCTTCCCAGAACAGGCCTTCAGGGCTTATAGATCAACAGGATACTATGTTTTCAGTTTCTGTTGCATTGAATTTGCTACAGCTTAAGTGGATTTTCTAACACCCTTCAAGCTCTGTATATCTAGGATTTTTGTCTTTGGAAAAACTTAAGCAGTGTAATATTTTGGAGTATCTGTCTTCACTGCCATCATTTTTAAAAGCAGAAGAATTGAATTACTTTTTGTCCTAACTGGATGCCTAGAACTAATGCAGAACTTCTCTCATGCTTACCCTTAATAGTTTGCCATATTAAAAATATCTATAAAACCTTCACTGGGGCTATTAGAAAAGCAGTGAACTAAGATTGCTGCTGTGGACAGAAAACGACAGAAAATCAGTGACAGTTTGATAAGAGTGCTTGAAGAGGAATATCTTGTCTCCTCATTCGTGAAAAAAGCTCCAGCTCAGATCTCAGTTTATAATGTAGGAAAAAGAAACAACATCAGCATGGGAGATTCTTTTTTTTCCTGTGAGAGACCCCCCCCACCCAACAGCCATTGAATATATTACTTCTGAGAGTCTACAAGTTACTGCCCTCACCGCTGTCTCACTCCTGTATTTATCAGAAGGCTTAACTGTTTTCTTATATACTTGATTATTTTTAGCTTTTTTTTTTTGAGCTTAGTGTAGTCTCTTCTCAGATGTACAAATACATTGCTTTTTTCTCGTGACTGCAGAGAATTAAAGCTTTACTGGTTAATTAGTATTTGAATTGAAAATGGCTCCTGTGGACTCCCAGCATGCATGGGTGAGAAGACTACTGTGTAAAGGATCAATGAATGGTTCTACAGATGATTTATTTTTAGTGAAGATGTCATTTGATATATAAACTCTGCAAAATTAAAACTAACCTGATGTCAGTTTTTGAAACATGCCCAACCCCTTGAGACCAGTATTTCAGCCACCTGTTTCCTGCTGAGTTCAATACTCAAAACTGAATAGCTATTCTGTGAAAATAGTGAAGTTGTGCTTCGTGCCCTGAAGGTCAACAGGAAAAGATTCCAGCATTAAAATGATATTGTGGAATATCTGTTGAAAGCTATAGTATATATTCTCAACTAAGTGTGTAATATTATACCCATCAACTCCCACCAGTGCAGATGGGAGTTACAACAGCTAATGCTTGCCTGTCAAGCTGACAGTTAACGTTTCTATCGTTCTGATCTGGAATATGAATTCATGGTATTTCAATGCATTATATAAAAAATGCAGCAGAAAAAAAAGGTGAAAATACACTGTTCTCAAGAGAATAACTTAACTGGGGAGGAGAGCGTACAGGAAAGTACTACTTGTTCCTTAGAAACTTCTGTGTTTTTAAAACTTTTCTGTGTGAAAGAAAGCAGGCTGCTATAGCTAAATTATTTGTTCTAATCCTGATGTTTTTTCTATCACAAGACAAATTTCTTCCTGTTGCTCCTGATAAGTCAGTGTGGAAATAGCTCTGCATTAGTGGATATTTATAGAAAATCTCTTCATTCATTGACTGCGAAGTGAAATTGTGTTAAGTTATTCAGACTGAGAACTCAGACTCTCTCTTCTCTTCCCCAACCTTCCCCAAAAGCAGAAACCCAGTGAAGTCATACTATATAGCCTTGCCTATTGGTCTGTCTGCAAATATGTGAAGTGTAGATTTTTGATGCTGTCAGTTCAATCCTCATAAATGTAAGAATGTTTTGGTTGTTTTGTTTTGTTTTTTTTTTTTTTAATCTGTACACATCTACCACACCTAAGCAAGTTCCTACCCAGCTCCCTCCTAGTTTGCTGCTAGTATAAGATTTCAATGTAGATGTATTTCAATGTAGATGTAGTTTCTACATCTTTCAGTGTCATTTTAATGCATATAGTAATATGAAAAAGCAAGCTGATTTTGGTTATAGTTGAGTTAAGCAATGTTTTGTTATTTCCCAATGTTCAGATCAAAAGGAAAAGCTGATGCAGGAGAACAAAGACCTGCAATCACACTACCTGGAAAATAAGCAAGAGCTAGATGAACTGAAAAATCGCATGAATTCATTGACCAAGGTAAAATCTTCTTTTTAGAAAACGACCAAGAAAAACATTCTGTGCTTTATTTGTAGTGCAAATACTTCTTGAAAGTAAAAGAATAATATTCAAAATGTCATGTCTAGTGGTCTTGTGAGAATGCATCTTGTTATCCTGAATGTATTTTTTCAATGTTCATTCACATCTGACACCACCTCTTCACTGAGTATTTGTCTTTCAGGAATGTTATGTTGATGTTGATGCAACAGAACTCAATGAAGCTCTCTTGCTCATAAAGGTAACTTGCAAAGAATTCTTTGTTTTTTTTCTTCTTCATTTTTAAAAATGTTTTAGTTCTTGGTTCACTATTTCCTGTTACCTGTTTCGGACACAATACCTTGGGTTCTCAAGGGCTGGATTGTTTCTGCAGTAGTTCGTGCTTCCTGCATATACGTGTGCACAGGTCATTTTTCAGTTACAGTGAAGCAAAAGGAAAGATGAAAATTGTGAGAATGAAATTTAAAGTTACCTAGATTTCACTAGAATTTCTTTCATACCTAGAGTTGTGTAGGATTTGCAATAACGCTAAAGGGGAATTCAAGCCAGATTCTGTAGTGTTTTCTGAAAAGCTTGCTCTTTCTCATTTAAATGAGCAATCACACTATCTTGTTCTTCCTGTAATGTTGATTAAAACCATTTTCTTTTTTTAATTCTTTAATTTGTTTTGAGAACATTCTAACTGTAGCTCTGAAAAAGTGCTAGAGCAACCTCACAGCTAACTAGTTGCCCTATGTTTACTAATAGAGAAATACATAGAAAAAGCTGTTTTTTTTCTCTTGCTCATAAGTTGTAGTTTTATTTTTTGCCAGAACTGAATTGAAAGTGAGCAGGAAAGAATTGAGTGCTTTAAGTTTCCACTGTTCTTGAAGACTTGCATTTAATTTAAACCATGTTTACTGAAATTTATAAAGTTTACGATAAGTAGAATCTTACTGCTACTTGAAAGCTAATAATTCTGTAATGATAACAAAAGAAGTAAAGCAAGGAGAAGATCAAAAATAAAACATCAGTATTAGTAATAGCAGTAATGTAGGCTTGGGCATTCAGTGGAGCGTAGTTATCGAGTATATAGAAGGTAAATGCATGAGGTGGATTGAGAAGAGAATGATTGCTTCTGAATATCTCATACATCTGAAATGTACAACAATTGGAAGTTTACATTACTAAATAAAATTGTGACGGGTGCAGGTCCATGGCATTTTTATTTTGTGTTACCATGTGTCCTCCTTTCAGTGCTATGTTAAACTATGCACAAAAACATCTAGATATTTTGCAAGAGTAGTTCTCTAGTAATTTTTAAAATTTGCTCTAGGTTCGAAAGCAGCAGCAGAATGGGGACCTTTTATGTTTGGAAAAAGAAGGTGATGGTAGCCCTGAAGATTTGGAACATTCCATGAAGAAGCTGCAATTAATACATGTGGAAACAGTGCACGAACTTGAAAAGACAAGGAATATGTTAGTTGTACAGCATAAGATTAACAAAGGTTACAAGGTATTAAACTCCACTCATAGTGGTAGATACCACAATGATAACATTTCAATATCTGTAGCACTGGAACTTGTTCCATCGTGAAAAATAAAGTTATAATTCAAGCTTCAAAATTCATCATCCAAGCCAGTCTGTTTTATGAAGTAACCTAACATAAAATTTGTTCATGCTGAAAGAAGTGTTCAAAAACCACAAGATCCAAATAACTGCAACTTCAATCTTTTAACTCACCCTGTTTAGAGCCCTTAAGCTTTTGGTTTCATGGGATTATCTCAGAGCTCTTATCAGGCCCACACAGGAAAAACAGTACGCACACTTATCTATGAAGCTTCCTTTTCCACAGCGCTCTGCTTTCAGCCTCTTGTGCTGGATTATTGCAGATGATATTTTGGTTTTCATTTGATCCATCTGAGGTTTAATAATACAATCTTTACAAAAACTATTAGGAATATTATTCTGAATGAATCACTAGTCAATTTTCCTCAATAATAATTTTAGATTTTGCTAAAATTAGAACTGATTGCTGTGGTGTTGAATTAAAATTTGCTATTTTTCTTTACCGCAAATTCTTAAACCTAACTGTATTTTCTCTTTTGTAGCCAAAAGCGTGTGCAATATCAATGTAGATACGTTTCACTGGTCCTTTTCACATGTAATTTTTTTTTCAGACTGAATTTGAGGCAATGGCGCAGAAGATGGAAAGTCTACAGAAAGGCTATGAGTTAAAAATAGAAAAGTATGTCCATCTTCTTGATAGTAGGGCTGAATGCATCAGAAAACTTGAAGGTATTTTTGAATCATATTTAATTCCTTCAATTTTTTTTATTGTTCTTAGATTGCAAAGCTTGTTCATCGGATGAAACGCCTTTTAATTCTTGAAACTAACAGAAAGATCAGGTCCTCCATGGCCCGTTATCTATATGATGTTTTATTGACTTGTTACTTATTAAATAAAGTCAAGAAGGTGCTTTATATGCTGCAACTGTTGCAGTATAAGTGGCCAAGCCTCTATGGGTAAATTATGTGTTTGTGGTCAAATTTTTTTTATTTTGCTGTTCAGTAATTATGTAAATTTTTGTGTGTTACAAAACCTCTCAAAGTTATGGCATAATATGCCTACAGAATATTTTAACATCATGAATCTGAAATTGTTTTAATGACCTTATTGTATAGTATAAATAGAAAATGGAAGCCCGAAACAGGATAACTCACTAAGCTCAATGTAACAACATTCATCATATTTTGTCTCCAAGTTGCATGTTCTGTGCTGAAGGACCGCATGATGATTTATGTCTTAATTCCGTAACCATTTATTCTTTCTTTCCTCAGCACATAATATAATTTGTAGTTCAACCCTTCAAAAATACACATTTTAAGTTTCTGCTAAATTTTAGCATAAAAATACTTATTTTGATCATCATATGAGGCTTCTGCATTTTAGCTTTTTACTATTATTAATTTCTAGCAGTCTGTGTTATACTGATGCAACTGCATTGTGTGAGTATTTTCAGCATGCGAAGCTAGCCATGGATGTCTGATTTGAAGTGTGCAATTTGTGTCGGTTGTTTGTTTTTATTTAAGAATTTAATATTGTTAATATAATTGAATTATACTTTTACTTCTCTGAGCAAGCATGAATTATATTTGATTTTTAAACAGTCATGTTGTAGCTCCCATTTTCTTTATTGCAGCCCAACTGAGAGATGTTGTCTACAGTACTAAACGATACAAACCCAGACCAGAAATACTGCCAGTCAATCCAGTGACTAAATCTGATGCAACTCTACATTTAGAAAGAGGACAGGGCCTTTTTGAAATTCATATCAACAGAGTGATCTTGTCTTCTGCAGCTGTGCATGCTTTTGGTGACCACGAACCTGCAACTTTTTGTTGTTTTACATTTTATGACTTCCAACTTCAAACAACTCCTGTTTTGTATGGAAATACCCAGTCATATCACTTTACTTCTCAGCATCTCGTGAAGATTGATGACTGCTTCTTGAGCTACATGAGGAATAGCAGTGTCACTCTTGAGATTCATCATGCATATGGCAGAGACCATGAAACAGTAGCAATATGCCAGGTGGCCCTCCATGAAACCCTGGAACAGAATGGGAGGATCTACGGCTCGGAAGATTTAGTTGGTAATTAACATATGAAAAAGTATTTTGTTTGGTGTGATGATGTGATCAGTAATCTATGTTTGATCACCAATTAATTTATGTATTGCTATTTAAAAAGAAAAAGGAATGGATTAAAAAAACTCTTACATTGGATGTGCAGCATTTTTGTTGATTCTAGCTCTTCGGACAGGTACAATTTTACCAATGATCAATGAGTACAAAGATGACATTAATAAAATCACTGATGTGACATATTAGAAGTCTACTACATGCTGAAAATAGCATTAGAGAATTTTGTCTAAAAATAGCAGGAGATTCTTTGTCTCGTACAGAAGTTACTTACCAAGTGTAATTAGACAAGTAAAGGTGATTTTTATTAAGATAGTATTACGTTTCTCAATATAATTATATGATGACAGCGTGGAGAAAAGTAGTTAGAGCAATGTTCTTGTTTGCACTGTTGTACTACTCATATTTCACTGTTTTTCTATGAACACTGCAGAGAAGATCTTCAAAATCTGACATTCTCTTTCATTTTTCATTATTGTTTTATATATTATTTGTGGTTTAGTTGTTTAATGCAGGCTTCCTTCATTCTCTAAGACCACTGTTTATACAAGGTGGCTTACTTAACTACTTACTTAACTATGAAAAAATGATTTCAATCAGATCTTGTAATGAACTTAAATGAAACTAAATTATTTTCTCTCACATATATAACTAATCTGATGAGTGTAATATGCATGAAAACCTAAAATGTTTCTGCTTTATAAGACTGTCAAATATCACTGCTTGATACTTGGCCCAAATGTCATAGTTATCTACCTTCACCCTTCATCAATATGTAACAGAAGAAATTATGGTTGTAGTTGTAACTGTTAAGTCTGCTGAAGAGGTAAGAGGTCTGCTTGTAATTAATACTCACAAAGCATCGAAAGGGCAGAAAAGGTCTGGTTACAGTAGAAAATACTTCAAATAGTAGGATCTACAGTGGGGTTTTGATTTGGCTTTGGGATGTGTTGTTGTTTCTTTTAATTTAAATCATTGTTTTGAAGTCACTGTAAGATGAAGTGAAAGTGTGATACCATCTTTCCTTAGGAGTGAATGGAAACGTCGAAGGTTTTGGTACTTTAGAATACTGGATCCGGTTCCGAGCTCCTATGGATCGATCCATTGGTCTTTACAAAGAGAAGTCCAAAGCTCGAGGGTATATAACACCCAGTTTGAGGGAAGACGGATCACCATTCCAGGTATGCTTGGTTTTGTATTACGTAGTTTTGGATTAACTCTTGGATTTTTTTTTTTCCCCATTGCATTTTCTTTTTTCCACATTGGCACAGCTGGAGTTCTGCTGAAGAGGCAAAGTCTTAAACTTCAGTTGCTTACTTTTATAGACTGTCATTAGAACATTTGAAATTATTACGTAAATATTGTATTTATTTTTCTTAACCTGTAAAAGCCAGATTTTGTTTACATTGTGTCATAGTGGATTATTCAGGAATGTTAAACCAGCCAGGTCTCAGTGAGGTATTACAGATGATGCAATTGTTCAGAAAGTTTTAAAAGTTCATAATGTTTGCATATATTGACATTGAGATAATAAAAAACTTTGTTTTTATTTCATTTATTACTTGATGAAGAGAATTATCGTGATATAAAACTGTATGTGGTAGTGATTTATTTGCTAAACTAACTGATAAAAACAACTCCATGTCTAGCATGACTTTAATGTTCTTTACTATACAACCATGTGAGTTTATATTAAACCAAAATCTGTACTGATTCCCTAATGTATGCTGGGAAGTATGATGTACAAATTCTGTGAAGGGTCGGTGTAGATATTTTCAGAGTATCTTTGGGCTTGACAACAGTGTAACATTTGCTTTAAATCAGTTTTTACTCAAAGGTATTTTTAACTCCAAGTTATTTTTAACTGACTCTTAAAATCTGGCCATTGTGAAATGCTCAAATCTGTAGTTTTCTCTATTTTTTTATTGTTATTTCTAGCTACGTTACAAATCCAAACACAGATGGAAGATAAGGCACATGGAGCAGAGCATTTTGTTGTAATTATTCCAAAACTGGAAATTCAAGCAATTGAAATATGCTGGTTGTTAAGGAAGAAATAAAACAGGAGAAATTGCAGAAATGAACAGTTTTTAAAGTAGATGTTTGAAACACTGCAGTTCTCAGAGATGCTTCATATAGAAACTGAAAATCATGTAGAAATGGTGTAGGTGGTTACATTATGTTACAGTTTCTATTAGTCTGGAGCTGCAGAAATACCTTCAGTTGTGTGTTCCAAAATTTAGGTTTTCACTAGTTAAACATATAAATATAAAACTTTGTCCTTTATGAGTGGCAGAAATCATGGAAATGTGAACTATACATGAACTGCTATAAAGACTCTTTTTCCCAATTCTGTTTGTAGCCTAGAAATAATAGCGTAAAATGTTACATATTCAGGAAAATCTGAAACTATCCTGATTGGCTGTTTCTACCAATTTCATTGTGGGTTATTTAATAAAAATATTTACCATGTTATCATGAAAAATCAAATTGATTCATGTTCCCCCAAATACCACAAGACAGAACTCTGAGTTCCGTAAGCCAGATAATTACATACGAAGAATGAAATTAGCTGTGACACATTAGCATAAAAGAAAGCAGAGCCTTATGAGGTGAATGTAGTTGGGGATTGCTTCTTTAAAGACAGTTGTATGATTTGGGCTTTTGTGCTGTTCTTTAATTTTTATTAATTTACCCATTTTCTTATTCCACTTCAAACATACATTTTTGCTGTTTGTGTGCTGATTTTTGTCATTTCTTTGTTAATACAAAGGTTTTGGAGAAAGAAAAGGGAAGGCAAATCTGCTGTGCTATTTTAATTATTGAAAAGTACATATATAAAGAACTGCAGTTCTTTTTGTCTTGACACAGAGTAGCTTTCAAAATCAGACTCCATGGTTTTAAAGTGGCATAATCATTCCACTTGAAGTGGAATCATCCTTAACACTTTGCTACCATGATAATCAAATGGCAAATAGGTCACAATATTTTAGAAGAATTAGGCAAATAATCACATTCTTGAAGGGATTAATCTCTTATCTCCTTACACCTGCAATCAAAGAGGGTTGTAGTTGAATTTATGGAACGAATTAGATTTTGGCATAGAAAGTTAAACAGTAGTTGGATGTCATCTAGATAACTTATTTGTTCTATTTATGTATCTCTTAGTATGCAGACATAAGAATTCTAATTTTTAAATTCAACTTCTTTTTCATATAAAACAGCCAATTCCCAGAGCTGCCCAAGTCAGCACTTCAACAGATGGCGATTTAAATGAGCTCCTTGTTACAATAAAATGTTGTAACCGTCTACAATCCCAAAAGAAATATCTTCAGCCAAATTCGTATGTTGTCTACAAGTTTTTCGATTTTGCACACCATGATACTCGCATCATTCCTAGCAGCAGCAACCCAGAAATAGATGACCATATGTGTTTCCAAATGCCAATGACTGCAGAGTTAGACCGATACTTGAAATGGGAATCCTTAACGTTTTATGTATTTGATGATGCCGAAGTAGGAGAAGATGGCTATTTAGGGAAAGCCAGTGTGCCTCTTATTCCCTTAGCATCTAACAGATCTATCTCAGGTAAGAATTTGATCTCTTCAAACCTAACAAAATCTTCACTTCTTGTTTAATCTATCTTTTAAATATCTTTAGAACTTCGCCTAGTGAAATTTGGAGTATCTCAAAGAATAGAGATCTACTGTCAGGTTGGCACTTGTTCCAGTGTTTGACTTCCTCTGTGATTTAAAAAAAAATAAAAAAAAGAAGGAAAGTACCTTTTTCTTTCCAATATTTCAACTTAACTGTTGGCTCTCCTCTTCCTGCTGTGCACCCATGGTTCCATCTTTTCTACATTCTACAAGTAGTGGCTGCAGACAGCAATAACATACCTCCAGTCAGAGCTGTCTTTTCTGAAGGTCAAGCAAATCCACTTCTTTGAGGCTCTTCTATGTCACGTGCTCCAACTCCCTGAATTTCTTGGTAGTCCTCCAATTGACTTGCTCAAATGTGTCAATGTCTGTTGTTGTGCAGGAGTGGCCACGGTATTCCAGATGCCATCTCATAGGTGTTAAATAGAGTAAGAATTCTGGCTGATGGAATCTGGAGTGCAGTTGGTCTTCATTGTTGCAAAAACACAGCTTTACTGGTTCCTATTATGTTACTCAAAACAGGACCAGTTTTTTTTCTCTTCCCTGCAAGGAAGGCTGCTTGTTGCTTACCAACCCCCAGCCTCTACTGCTTCTTGAAGATATTCTGGGGCAGATGCAGGACTTTGCATTTGCTATCATAGAACTTCAGTACTGTCAGGCCCATTTTTCCATTCTGTGTTGTGAAATTCACCCACAAATTAATATCATTTACAAATTTGCTGTGGCATATATAACGCAAAACCTACTTAATGATTGTTTTGATTACCAACTATAAGATGCATATGGAATTGTTTATTGAAAATTTTACGATACCATTACTGTAAAATGTAATTTATAATTACCTCCACAGAAAGGGAAAATAGGCGAAAAATTCCAAGTGAATTTAATGTTTCGTCTTTGATAAATATTTGGCAATGGATGGATTTTAAAATTCAATTTATATATTTAACAAAAATAAGTATTAGTAGAAAATGAGAATGTTTAAGTTAAAAATTTTGAACCATGTTAGTAAGAATTACTTATCTTGTATTAGGTTACCAGAGAACCTACAAGACATTTTGAAAGGATGTAGTAGTCCTGTTCATTCTAAATTCTGTATTTTTGAATATCTTTAATATTAATTAGGTATACTTGACTCTAAAAAAACACAATATTGTGGCTTTATTCCAATAATGAAATACTTAGTAAAATGGGGACTGCAAAAACTGTTGTGCTTGAAGCATGTTTTGCTTTGCACTGCAATTCACTGTATCCAACCTATTCAGATGAAATTTACTTTTTGTTGTCAGGTACATTTGAAATAACAGATTCTGAAAGAAGATTTACTGGTGCTATCAGAGTTATGTTAAAATGGAAGTTTGCCTACCAACCGCCGAGTGGAGCCGCAGTGGCTTCAGACTCAGAGAATTACATTCAGAGTAAGAAATCAGTGGCACCTAAATTAGTTTCAGAAGAAGAAACTCAACCTCCAACCTCCTCTCCTTTTTTAACTTCATCAGTGACAGTAAGTAATGTAACAAACTTGAAAAAGCTAAGAGATATGAAAGACCTACTGCAGCAGATCACTTAGATCTTCTCTGATGACCAGGATTTGTCCTTACTGTAAAACAGTGCGTAGTACAAATGCTTCATGTAACTTCCATCTAGAACTTCCATTGGGAAGTAAAATCTTTCTTGTATTCAAAACTTTTTGAAGATAAGCAGTAATAACTCATTCTTTCAGATGTATGATACTGCTTAGGATAGTCCTACAATAATTTCTCACATGGAACTCACTTTGCATTCCACAGATTTTCTGTAGAGTGTTACACTCATTTGTGGCTTAATTCTGGAAGAGATCTCAGTTTTTGGGGAAATTATTCAAAGAAAAACTACATCATCTCTCCTATTTAGAATTGAAGTTAGGACCATTTCATTTGTCTAAAATGAAAAATTAGGGTCCCTCAGAATTTTCTCAAGATGATTCAAATATGCCAATAAATGAACTTCACCTTTATTTTTATATTATAGGTACCCGTACCGAAACCAAGACGCCGTACAGCTCCAACAGACAAGAAAGTGTCATTTGTGAATGCCAGTTCAGTACAGGTGACAGTAAGTTTAATGTATTATGTTTGTGCATATTGAAGCAAGGAGACCTTCTTAGGTCACAGTGTGCACAAAGTGTAGAGCGAGTAATCGAGAACAGTCAGCTAAAAAAGGTGGCATGTCCAAGGCAGAGACTGATAACGTAGTACTGCATAGAGGTTAGAAAACAATACAGGCTCCTCAAAATTGCTTGCTGTCTTCTGCAGCTTTTGAGCTTCCATTTTCATGGGTTTATAGCAGATTCCCACAGGACTGGTTAGCAGTCTCTGCACTGTTTCTTAGCTCTCCAGATTATTAAAGTGACTTTAATTAACCACTCACACAAACATTTAAGTGACTGTAGAAATTAAGTTGATTGAAACCAATTTGAAGTTTTGTACCAATAGGATACAAAATTTGACACCATTCATAGTCACTTCTGCACAACAAGTTTTATCAGCTGCAACTACACATGCTATGGAAACAATTATATTTCAAGACATGCAGTAAAGTGTCTTTTGCACATCCTTCTGTAGTCTAAAAGGATGTGCATGGAAGTAATTCAAACATGCTTTAAATTTTTATTTGATTTTTAGCTGGGCACTGACTGTATTAATCACATCCTTTAATTCATTGTTGGTTCTCTAACAGTTAATGATTAAAATGTTATGAGTATTTTTGTTAATATTACGTTGCGAGTAACTTATGCATTCTTAAAAATTTGCTGTGAAGATTTTTTTTTTCCATTTGCAAATACCTTGATTGAATTTATTTTTCAGTTGTAACATACATTTTCTGTTCACAGCTCTTTCTGCTATTGCTTAGTTTACTATGACTAGAGCTTTATTCTGAGCTTCATATCACACACTAGAAATATGAATGAAGTACAGTATGAGAGAAATCAACTGAGATGTCAGATGTATGGTTACAGGGGCACAACACCTTCGGCTATCTGAACAGCAGCCTCTTAAAATTTGATAGTTTTTCACAAAGTATGGTTGTCTAAGTCAGAGATTTAGCTATTTGATCTTTAGCAAGAGTTGTTCATTAATGAGTGCTCAGCTGTCCTGGCTTTAAAAAAGCGAGTCTCAGTGTCTGGCTACAGACAAGAGTTCTGTACTTAATACTAAGTCACAAAATATTTGGACTTTCTCTGAAGTCTGAATCTTGTGGTGACTCTGCTCGAATGTATTCATGCAAGACAAATGGAACAGATCAGTATCTAAAGGGGGGCCATGTAAGAAAGAAGAGAACAGATTCTTTAGCAGGGTCTATTGCGATGGGACGAGAGGAAAAAGTTTCAAACAGGACATTTATGCTGGACATAAGGAAAAGGTTTTGTATCTTAAGGATGGAGAGGTGCTGGAACAGGTTGTCCAGAGAAGTGGTGAATGCCTTATCCTTGGAGACGTTCAAGGTCAGGCTAAGCAACCTGTATCTGTAGATGTCCCTGATCATTGCAGGGAAGTTGGACTTAAATGACCTTGAAAGGATTCCTTCCAACTCAGACAATTCTGTGATCTTAAGCACATAATTATGGGGAAAGAGGATTTACTAAAAATTGGATGAATGATTTATCTCCATTGAAATCCCAAACCATTTGTAAGAATTCTCCAGTGTTTTAGGTGGAAGCTGTAGCAGAAATTTGGAACAGCAATACTAATGCAGAGAAGCAAAAGAGGATGTAATTTCCTGTCTAAATATTTCTCCACCAGTAAATTCATACCTATATTTTTTTTAATTATATAGTATCCAACAGGTCCAAATGCTTTGGAGGTATGAAATTATTCCATTTTTGCAGTTCTTTCTAATATGTTGCCTTTGAATTCCGTATCTGCATTATCTCTTCAGTCGTACATTAAAAACTGTGCTATCATTAAGGATTATCTCATAAGTCAGACATGAAGTATGAAGGGGAAAAAGTGATCCCTTCTTGTGACTTTTTCTTTTTGGTCATTAGAAAGACAGGCATATCTACTCATTTCCTTCTATGTCTGGATAAAGCTTTTGTCTTTGTTTTAAAAAATTATCAGCATTTAATGGGGTGGGAAATGAAGCAGAAAAGTAGTGACTTTGGAATATTGCTGAATACATAGCATTCCAAGAGCGAAGATACTGCATTAGTCCAATTGATTGTGAGAGTAAATTCTTGTGGGAAATTGGCAAGCTTTTGGTTCCAGTGTTTTGGTGTAGCAAAATGTTGTTGTTTTTTTTTTTTACTGCCTCTCCTTTGAGAATTGTAGGTCTTCTGCATCATTTATTTATTACTGCACATGAAAACTTTTCATTGCTTCTTATACTGCCAAAACAATATAGTTGTTTAAAAGGCGTAAAATATAATGAATGTGAGTGACAAATCTTCATGTTTTAAACCTTCATAATTTGCAAGGTATGTTTTATGATATTATTTATTCTTATGTTGCATGTAATATGTAAGGTTAAACAAGAAAATCTAGCAGATGTTAAGGTGAAGGAGACTGTTGAAGAAATTCAACAAGAGAAAGAAGACCATTCATGTTTGCCAGAAGAGCAGCTGTCTGGCCAAGGCACAGTTACCTCTGGAAATGAGACAGAAATATCTGAAGAACTGGAATCAGAAGGTAGAATTCATTCTTTATGAATAAGTGGCTATATTTCCTTAATAAATCTGTCTCTTTCTTTTTCTTTTTTTCCTCTCATTTCTTACTAGCAGTGGGAGCTGCCTCATTATGAGAAGGTTCATGACAGGAATGATATTCTGGTGTACTTTTAGCTCTAGATGGGTGGTGGATATGGTAGTGTTATTTTCATCCCAAATGGAAACTGTATTGTAATTGAATGCAAAAATCTGGTATCTGACCCAGATTCATAAAAAATTAAAAGAAAGCTGGCTTCTATTTTGAATGTCTTCGTATTCTCTCTTAGAACTACACTGTTATAAAGACTGTTTTAATGAACATGCTCCTTTTGTCTGCAGCTAACAGCCGGTGCTGATATTGGAAACCCTTTCAGGCTGTGAAAGGACAGTGTGCCTTATCACATCTGTGGCATAAAGTTGTTAAGAAGCAGATTTATTTCAAGATTATAACAGCTGGGTCACTGGTTCCACCTTTGAGCTAAACTGTGTGTTAGTAAAATAAGCCATATCTAGAATAGGGAAACAAACAGGATGTTAAAATTTAACATTACTGTTTACAGCTTCTGCATAAGAATTCATTAGTAAAATTGGAAATCAAGGCGTTGAATCCCTATTGCGTTTTTAAGTAATTTGTTTCAGAAAGGAGGGGCCTGAATGCTCTAGAAAATAATTACTTGCATTACAGAATTACTTTATTTAAGAAAAAGAGTATTTCTTTGGCTGTGTGTGGTACTAAAGCTAATCATAGGAGAGCTAAAAATTCAGGCTGTGTCCTTTATTAAGCTAACTGATATTTATACTTAAGTTCCTCACAGGACTTGTATTATTGTACTTAACAACAATACTTTACTTAACTTTAGTTAAGTAAACAACTACTTAACAACTTAACTTTAATCTTGGAAACGTTCATATTTTTTTAGAAAACAAGAACAGGCAACAACAATGTAGTCCATTAATAGTTTGTCAGTTTGCCACTCCTGCCTTCTGCAAGGAAGTGCTTTACTGGACACCATTGTACAGTGTTTATTAGGAGTAGCTAATGTATCGCTGTCATGTTTTCCAGCAAATCTCAGATTCACTACAGACACAGTGTGTTTTTTAACTACATTTTTTTTATTTATTTTAGCAGGTGAAGATGATAGACACACAAATGATTCTGTTGAATCGGAAACTGACAGCGACGACTGTATTGTTACAAGTCCAATATCCAAAAATATTATACAGGTCAGTTGGAGTGTTTTATGGCAATCTGCTAAGTCTAAGAAAGAAAAAGTCAAGCCTGACTATATATTTAGTACTGGTATAGCCTCACCTTGAATATTGTGTGCAGTTCCGGATTCCATAATATATATATATAAATGAAGTTAAGTTACTTGAAAGCATCCAGAGGGCAACAAATTCATAAAAGGGCTGCAAGGCACTTCCTGTGAGGAGTGGCCCACTTGAGTTTTCTGGAGGAAACATTACTTGCAGGTTATCTCATTGCTCTCTGCATCCTCCTGAGGATGGGAAGTGGAGAGAAAGGCGCTGGTATTTTTAACTTCTGATTAGCCCTGATGTGGGCAGGCAGTTTAACTTAGATGGCCTTTGAAGGTCTCGTACAGTTTAACTGTTCTATTCTGTGACATGATTTGTTTTCGTATGTTTCTGAACATTTTGGTTCCTTTAACTCTATTTGCTGTTCTTTAGCAACCTGATTTGTTGTCATTGTTACCAGTGTTGTAACTTGATTTTTGCTGCCAGAAAAACCTTGGTTCCCATCTCTGGGATTTCCGTATATTATCCTTCCCTGTGTTGAGTCAACCAAAAACAAACTGTAGAAAATTAGGAGATTTATTAATAATTACTGGTATCTTTCTGTGCTGCATTTGTTGTGACCAACAAAACCTTGGAACTACAGATTTCTGATTAGTGTAAATCTGAGATCAAATTTTAGTAAGGACAAAATCTCCCTAAGCATGTTCTAATATGAATGTCTGAAGATCTTTATTTCATTCTTCAGTCCTCCTTCAGTCTTGTCTTTGCCACACTTAAGAAAATGTGTGTTTTTTACTTTTGCTGCTTTCAGAGAAGGGAAAAAAAAATAATTGGTCACAGTCTGTAGTACATCTACTGACTCATCCCAGTATATTCATTTGATTAAATATTGTTAAAATTGCATAAGCTTGAGGCTGTTAATAGTGTGGAAACCTTGCATGCGTTCCAATGCAGCCAAATAGATTTCTTTGACTTCACAATAATTTAAAAACTAAAGATTTGTTTTCAAAAAAGTTTGTGCAGATACAGTATCATTTCAGAGCACATTTTTTGTGCTTCCATTTGTGTGCATGTAAATGTAGCATTCTTTTGGCTTGTCCTAAAAACCTGCAATTAATGAGCATAGAGTCACGTATATGAAATACAACATAATACCATTGTGGAAAATGTACTTCAAACAGTATTTCAGTAGTATAGTTCTTTATAAAGATGAGACCATTTAGTACTTCTATAATATAATTTATGCAATGTTCACCAAACAATACTGAAAAGCAGGCATCTAGCACTTGAAATTGATTGCAATACTTCTAATAGTTAAGACTTCTCTGGACTGTCCTAGTCTCCTTTTAAAGGAGTAAGGATATACCATACTGTTATATCCTGTCAGCCTAGATGTAATTTGATTTTTCTGTTTGTTATTTAAGTAAAGGCTCTTGAAATTTAGCCAAGTAAGTAGCAATTTTAGGTAATGTTTCTCAGGAGAAATATTGCTTTGTTTTTTTTTTTTTTTTTTATTTTAAATTGTAGAAGGGTTTTAGAAATGCTAAATGTCACCAGTTACATCAGCTAGAGGGAGATTAAGAAGGTATTTTTGAAAATGAAACATTCTAAAAACATATGTATAAACACTGCATTTCCATCTGTAACTTTGAGAACTTAAATGACTGCTACTCATCTGTACCGAGTCAAACGATAATAGGGTTTATCTGTGCATTCCTTATCATCCTCTATTTCATGTTATCAAAACCATGGAAAAACATTTCTGAGCGAGTAGAGAGTTCAAGTTTCCCTCTTTGTAGATCTGTTCATCAGGTAACAAAGTGCAAGAAGAGTGGATAATAAAATTAAAGCTATAGGTTATGAAGGCAACGCGATACAAATTTGATTTTAAAATTAGGCATCGATGTATTTGGAATTTCTAGTTTACCAAATGCAGCATGTGAAAGTTGGTACTTAATTCATATTTTTAAAAAGATTAAAAACCAATGCCTTTTATCTTGTGAGATAAGTATCCTGCTGGTAATCAAACAGTGTAAATAAGTCTTGTGATTTTAAGTGATTGTTATGCTAATTATCCTATGAATCTAAGTTGTATGCCAAACTGTTTAAGCTACTTAAGATCATACTGTTTCTTTTTTGCATGTTGCAAATTAGACAGTTCATGGTTATTTCTCTGAGATGTTGATCATAAAGGGAATCTAACAGATTTTCCACTACTTAGCTGTACCACTTGCTTCTTTCTCTTTTCTTCTTGTCTATGATGTATAATTAATCATAGATTACTTCATTTTGTTTCATTTCATTTACAACATTTATGAGCTTCACTTTGTCGGTATGAAATGCTTGTCCCCTTCTTTCCTTTCCAAAGTGGTGTAATTAGTGTTAGCATCTTTTTTAACAGGCTACATAAAGTTTAGTGGCTGGATTAAATCAAGTCATTAACATAATGTGCTATACAATTTGCCCCTATCTCTTTTCGTTTCCAGCACATCAAAGTGCCAGAGAGTGCCAGTGTAATTGGGCCTTGCTAGCTTGTCAGGTTCAGTCAGGCTGATGGCTGCTGCTTTTACTGAAAAGCTTCCAGGCATGATAATTAATAGAGAAAAGAAGTCTGAGAAATGTAAAAGTTTGGACAGTTCTCTATGAATATTTCATACATTTGAATAATCAGAAGTTAACATTATCAATTTGATGTATAATACGTTGATTAAAAGCCTTGTTTCAGATCCTCAAAATAGACATCAAAACTGGAAATTTGCATTTTCTTTGGCACGGTCTTTATATTAAAAAAAACCTCTTTTCGCATTCACTCCTCCTCCCTTTCACCCCTATGTCTGCACTTAATCTGTAGAGGAGATAATACGGCATTCAGTTATCACAATATAATTTACTGCTGTCAGCTTCCAACTTAAAATATGCCCATAAGGCAATTACTGGCAAAACCAGTTCATTTGGTGGTGGTCCCACTTTTTTTTTTTCTTTAGGTGTGTTTACATCTCTGTATTTCACTGCAGATACTGAGAGTGCATTATCTTGCACTCAGAGGTTTATTGAAAATTGTCATTGTTGGTTCATTTTAGATCTCTGGGTTTCATTTAGATACTGAAGTCTCTTAAAAGCTATTAACAAGCATCAGCAATTGATTGTGATTCATCTGTGCAATGCAGTGGTTGTAGAAAGTTGGGAATATTTAAACGAAGTTTATGTATAGGAAAGCTATAAATACTTTTCCTTTTATTGTGCCTTTTTTGTACAGTTCCTTAAATATTGCACTTACTCCTGTGAAATATCTGCATTCATTGAAGAAAAAGTGATTTGGGTATCATTTGCTATTTTAAACTTTGACTTCCTCTATTCCTCTTTTAATCTTACTTTCTGCAGGAGTTCAGCACCTAGGTGTACCTTTAGGGAGATTCCTGAGTACTCAATGCTTTTCTTAAATTGACCCAAGCTGAATTTTATGGACCTAAAATGTTAAGATTTTTGTATTTTGCAGTGTAATTGAGTTGGTATGATTCTATCTGCTTTATCAAAAATACTAATCTTCAATATTCAGTTAGTCTTGTCTAGATCTAACCTTAGCTGCTTAGTGCTTTTGTTTTTAAGAAATTGGAAAAGTAAGATAAGTACAGCAGTTAGTTTATCAAAACAAGAACTAGAACTCATGAAACAGAACTGTTTATTGAGGCAAAGTGTGAGGTATTTATTAAGGCGTTGTAGTCACTATTGTCAAAGTGAACCAATGGGTCTAAAATGAAAAATCTGCATTACCTCTTCTCCATTTTTAAGATCACTGTGGGCTGTATTATGGTCCTACTGTAGTATGGTCACTGTTAGACAGGAGCTATAATCAAAAAGAGAAATAATCCAGGACAGAACTTGGTGGTTTTTGCTGATAAAGCTTGAGCACTGCATGGGATTAGAAACTAAATTTGGGTTTTCATTAGCTGGAATACTTTAGCAAGAACGTTTTTCATGTTGTGGATAGTGTAAGGGAGACTCATATTCCATTAATTTTTATATTGTCTTCGAACAAAAGCATAATGGGAGATTGGGTATCCTTCACAAATGTAGTGTGTTTAGCATCTAATTAAAGAATAACTTTATTAAAAATATGCCATCTATTGTATTTTGTCACTCTAACTTCCCTCTTAGCAAATGGAAAAGCTATACTGATACTTCATTCCTACCAGGCTTTTTTCCTAAATGGCTTTTATTTCACATAGAAATTTTTTTAAAAATGTATTATTGAAATCAAATCAAAGTCTACGATCCACATAAAGAGAAAGAGCATATAGAAGCCAGAATCCTGTCATGTTTGTTTTTCTGTAGGCTTTTTTTACGTATTACTGTTACTTTTTGTTTAATCTTATTTCTGTAGTTTAAATGTTGATGAGTAGGAACACAGCTGAACTGTATAGAATAAGTGGTCGTTTTGTTAAGCATTTTTGTCTTTTATGCTTATTTAGCTAAGGATCATGCTTCACAAATTGAAGATGTGTTAAGGCTTTTACAGAGCACTGGAATTACGGAGTTTTGTGACCAGTTGCTACTAACGTGTAGTTAACTGGCTTTCAGTTTTGATCCTATTGGTATTTGATACTCAGTTATCTGGTAGCATAAAGTTTGAGTGTTGAAACACTGAAGGAAAAACAAAAAAAGGAAGTGTCTTGGAGGGAGTGCAATAGATAGATGGCTATAGGTTGGTACAGGACTGCAACAGTACCGCTTTCATAGGGGTTGGTTGGGTTGCACTCAACCTTGCTGCTGTGCCAACTTCGTAGTGCTGCGTTCTACTCATAAAACGTGTCAAAGGCCGGAGGTCCTACGAGGGCTGTGTGTGCCTTTCCCTTCTTCAACAGCAAGTTGGACTCTAAAACAGCTATTAAACAGGTGACAAAGAGGTCACTCCATGTTTAAGAGAGTCTGAAGTGGGTGCACTTCTGTAATCCTATCCATTAGAAGAATGAAAAGGGAATATTGCTGTACCCTTCTTTCTTTCCTCACATCTACACGATTATGAGAAAAATAAGAAAATAGATGTTCACCTTGACATGAAAAATGGTACAGAAAGAAGGAATATTGCCATAGACTAAGAATCTTGCCTATATTTCTTTTCCGTCATACTGAACCAGTTTCTCAGAAGTAATCACTGAAAGTTTTGTTTTGGAATTCTTTTTATTTTTATAGGTATATCCAATTTTTCTGTTAGAGGAAATTTCTTACTAGACTTCTGTTTAAAATATTTGAAGAAGAATTTTATTCCTTTCAAAATATAACTGTGCAAGACAAAAAATATAACTGATCAAGACAAGCTGTCCATTTTTCACTTGAATAGTAACTAATAAGACCAAGGCAAAAGTAAAACAAAGCAGAAAACCTTAAAGATTTAAATTGAAATACTTCAGTGTATATCATATAAGTGTAAATAGTTGCTTAAAAATTAATTCCTATCATATATTGCATGCTATGTATATTTCCACCACAGGCCACGTAATATAACTGATTTATATTAGTAGTGAAATATGACATAGTAGCAATGCTGTTCTTTATCAGTCCTGTATTTTTATTTGCAAATTTTTTTTAAGTCAGCTTCTGTTCTCCTTTATATATGCTGTATTTGTGCTTAATATTAATAAAATGAGGGCTTTCTTTTTTGTGTGTTTAGCACAGAAGTAATAATAACGACAACTTTGTAATAGTTACAACTTTGTAACAGTATGACTGAGTTAGTTGTTCTGTTCTGAGTTAACAGTACTGTCAATACCTGGATTTATCTTGCTCTCCTTAAAAAAAAAACTATAACATTTTTTGCTTACAGTGTGCAATTACAAAGGTTAATTATGTCAAACAAGTTCAAGTGATGTAAAAGAACCAGTTAATAATACAGGCTATGGTATTTGGAGTTGATTCCTAAACTACAGCCTGTACAAACTAGCTTGATGTAGCTGCTAAATAGTTTGGGGCAAACAAACCTCAGCATATCACTTGAAATACAGATGCTAATACATCTGTTCAGTGCAAGAAGAAAAGAGTTGTTTCTGAAGTAAGATTAGACAATGGAGCCAATTTCATTTTTTATGCATGTGAATGTAGAGTGCTTGAGGTTATTAGTTGAAACTGAGTAACCTTTCCAGGCTTTCATCTCTTTCTTTTCAAATTTGAATATGAAAAGCATATTCAAGTCAAAGACCATCACTTTAATGACATTTGGCAGTCATTTGATTTATTAGATTTTAGAAAAAGAATTTCCTTTAAATATTTCATCATTCTATGCTAATCCTAGTAATATTGCCAGCTGAAGCCATGTACCTGGATTAGTGGAGACAGAATGGTGTGGAATTTTCTCTGTCATCCTAGTAAAATTTCCATGAATCTACTGAATAATAAAACAACCTTATTGAAATATTCAGATTTGGGTTTTTAGTTAAAGTGTCTTAGGATACATAATAAAAGGAAATGTCTTTTGAAAGGAGGGGGTAAAATTACTTCATCAAATATTGAAAGGGCTTGACAGCAATGGAAATTGTTCTATATGATGGATATTTTTACAATAGAATACACCTGCTTTTCAGTTTGATTAATAATATAATTTGCTTGGAAAAACCCAGGCTATCTCCATAATAAATTAGTGCATTGATTTGCAGTTCTGACACTGAATCTAGAATGCAGATCTTTTGAATAAAATTTTTTGCTTCAAATGACCTACGTTTACCATAAGGTCTCATTGAAATATTTACTAGGGGAAATATTTCTAATAAAGTTGTGAACGTGAAAAGAAAAAAATAAAATATAAATGTATTTTTTGAATAAGCTTTGCTTATTGTTTGATGACTCTCATCTTTGAATGCTCATCTATGTACTTCAACTTTGAAATTGTAGTGGCTTTTTTTTTTTTTTTTTTTTTAAATCACAGTTACCTAGGGAAAAAGCTGTGACTCTACCTGTCAGATCTGACATTTCTACTTAAAGACAATAACACTTATTAAAATATACCTGTAAGCAAATAATACAGACGTTGCTAGGTGATATGAAACAATTTCTATAAGCAATAGGAAAAATGTCATTTTAGCTAAAGGTGCTGATGGAGACCAATTGGAATACTTTATTATCATATTGTTAATTTTACCATTTAATGGTATTTGATTTTACTAGACAAGTTCAGTGTGTGAAATTGAATTCCATATATGTACAGTGTTACTTAATATGCCCAAGTACTTTGTGATTTGACTTTGTCATTTTATTGAGCTAACTGTAGTACAGTCTGCAGTAGGCATGGAAGTCTAAAAGTTCTCCTTCACTGGCAAATTGCTGTTACCTCGTATTACTGAGCCTATTTCAGGTGGCTGTGGGAAGAAGGTACAGATGACTTTGTTTATCGTTATAAATAATGGCAACTGAAATCTGTAGTTCAGATATAATTAATGTATGAAGATAGCCCCAGCTTATCCTTCTCCAGCAGAGTATGACTATTAAAAAAAAAAAAGTGTTTTCAACACCACTTGTAAATCAGTATCTGTTCCAGCAATACTCTCAACTTCAAACCCTAGGGCTTTAGAATCTCATTGTGTCCATGTCAAAATCAATCAGTACATGTTCATACAAAGCACCCAATGTTTTACACGTGTATGTTTGTGTTTTAGTTAGCACTTGAAGAAAAGAAAAATAATTCGTATTTGTGTTTTGTCTTTAAACAGGCAACTGAAAAAATCAAGATTGAAATTATATCGTTTTGTCTTTTTGAGTCACGAATTGTAGAAGATGAAACAATACAACAACTGTTTGTAGAATGCAGATTTTACAATTTCACTGCACACGAGACCCCAATGTCACTTCCAAAACCACCAAGTGGACACACGGTTCACTATAACTATAGCAGTGGTAAGTGTAATGAATTTCTAATCAGATTTATTTTCTTCTTTAAATTTTCTTCTAAATCAAAGCCTATCAGTAAAGTCTAAGTCCTTTATATGGTAGTTGGATTTATTTGTGTTCCAGTTGTATTTGTTTGGTTCCCAAATATTTTCAGAACTGTTACAAATTTTCTCAAGAAATGCTAGGGTTGCAACTAGCTAATAAAAAATAAACTGTTGAATTATGCTTCTGTAAGAAATGATGATAGTACAGCATACTTAAGCATACTGTTAGTCTATAATTTTGAAAAATAGATTTCATATAACTCAAATTAGGTATTTCTGAAAAAAAAATGAAGTGGTGTCTTTATTGGTATCTGATGACACAGCAGATGAGCATTCCCTATAACTATACACAACTAAAACAGTTCAAAAGAGAAAGAGGACTTGACCATTGCTTGGTATTATCCAGTAGTCCCTTAGTATGGACTTTTTGAAGTGGTTTATTCAGCAGTGTTTAATGCTAATACCTGGTTGTATTCTTCAAATTACTTAATCTTGCATCCTCCATGCTATTTTCTGAAAAGCACCTGAAAACAGCTTCTATTAATTATTTTTCCAGCAATTCCATGGTATTTCAATTTACTTATTCATTAACATTTGATTTTATTTTTTTGCTATTAAATTCTACTACATTTAAGAGTCGGTCTGGGTGCTTCGTGTTTTCTTGGGCATTAATTAAGTAATGTATTTTTACTTAGAATATCTTGGAGAAGATGAATCATTTTGCTATTTGGAAACACTGCTGATAGACACATTCGTATTAAGGATTCTTTTGAAAATAGTTTTTTTCTTAAATGGCTTTGTAAATCGTATCGCAGTCAGATCTTTAAAACCATAATTCTGATTTTTAGAGGGAGACTGTGAAGATTTTTTTCTATTAAGTTATATCCTTCTAATATTCACGAACTATTGAATTACCCCCAAGTTGAAGATTGTAACCCCTGTAGATGTTGCATCGAGAATTTTCTTTCTATTGTGCAAATGCCCATATGAGGGAAAATATAGGATGGGTTAAAATGCTTTAATTTCTGTAACTTTGAGGAAGACACTAATCTTTGTATGGCTTTAGGAAAAACAAACACCAAAAAGTAGAGAACACTACAAACTGCATTTCATTTGCTGAGGCTTACTTCCATTTAAACAAATGGGAGTCCTGTCATCATATGAGAAATAAGAGTAAGGCATCAGATAAATAAGAACTTTTAGTTTAACAGTGTTCATCTTGCTAGCTGCTGTAAACAATTATCCAAATATGCTAGACAGGAAGCAATTATTGAAATGAAATTTGTAAAACCACATTGAAATTACACGATAAGCCAACAAAAGCATTCTAGCACTCGATTTCTCTTCCTTTTAGAGTTGTCATTGTTTGGCATGTAAGAAACATTCAGACAGTATTAAAAAGAAGTTATTACCCAGCCTTGGGACTCATGTGTTTTGGATATGATCTAAGCATAATATTAGATTTTTTTAATTATCAGCTCCACAAAGTACAACTAGCAAAACATAATAAAGTTAGAACAGATAAGTTAAAGGTGGGAAAGAAGAACCAGTGATGAATAAATAATGAAATTACAGCCCCTTCAGACAATTATGAAATTTAAAGATATTTCAAGCTGTGATATTGGAAGACACTATCATGCTTTGCGGAGTCTGTAATTCCTAATGAATTCTGAACTGGTAGTGCTACATTGTACTATTTCTGCTTGTCAAAATTTGGCTTCATAACTGCTTTTTCATTTGCTACTCTATTTGCTATTGTAGAACTGCTTAAACTTTAAAATTTTCTGACATATCAGAAAGTGGTTTTGGTCTTAGTTTCTCCAGGATTATATTCCACAGTATTGTAGTAATATGGTTGTTATTTGTGGAGTTCTGTTTACATGTTAGTCTGCCAATTTCTGCTTAAAATTAGCTTTCCACGTGGCGGGGGTAGGGAGGGGAGGTGAGTCTACTGTTTGATATTGTCAGTTGGAAAGCCAGCAAGATAACAGAAATGAAATTCGTGTGTGTTTACTGTAGCTTTACGGCATCTTTTATTTGTTTAGTTCTCTCTTACATCTAGTTAGAACTCAACATGTTGAATATTTGAAATTAATTGAATATTTTCTTTAATAAAAATGAGATTTGCATCAGGAGAAAGAAATGTGCTTTGCACTTAGAAGGAAAGTTAGTGTTCTAGGTTTTGCATAGAAAAATATGTGCATCCATAAGTATTCCAAAATCATTAATTATAATTATTTTTATTTTTTATTTGAGCAGCTCAAGTTTTTGCTTTCATTGGTTCATATGTAACAGTTTGTACAAGAAGGTTTATCAAAAATCAAATCACTAATCAAAATGCTTTCTCAGTTAACATGTGATTATATGGACAACCTTGAAGTACGAGTATAAAAAGACCAAAGGAGTGTTCAAATTTCATAACAGAAATGTAGACGTGCTTCCCAGTGATGATTCCTTTTTTCCATTAGTGCTCAACACAATATGAGGCATTCTTTTATCGTTGTGATAAACTCTTTGCTTCATCACATGCACATTTAGCTCTGTTAGAAACTGCATTACGGAAGTAGTATTCTGTAACACAACCAACTATGTTGTTATTTAGAATTGCGGTGATTTTTGGTAAGATTCAGGGATGCTGTCGTTTTTCAGATTGTGGTGCTTCTTTAGGATGAACTTAGAAATGATAATTTTAGATGCAAACTGTCACAAGTTAACGTTGAATGATTTTTGCAATTAACTGGATAGAAACAGAAGATGTTCTGTGCATTGGAGCAATCTTATAATGCTAAGTTCAAGCAGTATTATGGGGTGATATGAAAGCAAGTTATTCATCACTACGTAAAAATGTAAGTTCCTTTTTGCTATGGTTAATCACTTTTTCCCCCAGATGTGGAAAAAGTTCTTGTGTTGAATATTTTACTTGAGTTCCACTGAGTTCAAACTCTTTAGATTTGTGAACAGACTTCCATTTCAAAATTATTTTAGATACAGGATTAGCAAACTTAGGAAATTCCAGTTTGAATTCTTCTGGGGAAAGGAAGAATCTGTTGATGTGGCTGCTCCTTTGAAGTTCCTTGGCTGTTCATCTGTCTCCCTGCTGCCTCCCATCGTTTCCTGTGATGGCCCCAAGTGTACTTGGCCATGAGAGTCACTAGCACATGTGGAAAGTCATGCACTTACCCAAAAGAATAGCAGATGGCAGTAACAGCTTCTTTTAGCCTGTCCAAGAAATTCACCATGTTGTGGGTAGAAATTTAGGACTCCAAGCACCAATGCTTTGCTCCCTGCTGGTAGGGGAAAAGGTGCTGAACTGTAGATTTCTTTCATTGTATGATTCAAGTGCTGGCTATTTTCTCTAAGTAACTACTTTCTAGTAATGATTACCTAAGAGTTGAGAAGCAGCTTTGAAGAAAACTGGAAAACTGGTGGCTCTACAAGATGTGCTTCCTAGAAGAACTCTTTGATAGAGGTATAACCCTCAATAAATTCCTTTGCAAGGAATTAATATGAACCTTCTTATCTCTATTTTGTATATCTATATTCCATTACTCTGTACCTTGGTGAAATTATTAACTTTTGTTAAACAAATAAATTTACTTGGATAACATATGAGAGCATGAAATAATTTAAAGCTTTATAACAACATGTAATAAACCTTAATTTGATGTGGAGAAGGAAAAAGAGGTGGGTTGTTTTTTTTTTTTCTTGTTTTGCTTTTAAAGCAAAAAATGTAGTTTAAGAGTTACTAGAGGAAAATGAGGCTCTTGAATAGTAAAGATTATGGAATTTAAAAAGAGACAAATTTCTAACTCTTGCTGCCTTCAAAAACAAAAAAACAAAAAAAACCAAGTTCCTAGGAGCTATGTTTATGACTCAGAGCTGCATTCATGCTACTTCTGTCCTCAAACATTTTTGCAACTGCTTTACTAGTTCTTTTAATACTGATTTTTCGGTTTTCTCATACAGGCTTTTAATAATCTTTTGGAGTAGTTTAAGCTCTTGTAATACTTGTTGGTTGATAGCATGTGCAAGAAATGAGCAACTTTCTTAATACAAGATGCCCAAAAAACCTCCTAAAAATTTCCTAGAGCTCTGTTTTTTTATTATTTTACTGTTTTTCCAAAGCAAGTCTATTTTTTGCTGTAGGTCATATTAATGGTAATAATAAAAAAAAAAATAAAGAAAAAAGGAAAGAAGAAATGCTGGTTCATAAAGGAAAACATTGGATGGCTTTCAGAGCATTCACACATACTCCTCAGGCTGTGGATTTTCTTCAGTCCATTGGTCTAGTTGTTCCTCTTATTGAAATATTGTGGCAGGAAAGGAGGATTAAATTACTGAGGCTGTCAAAAAGGACAAGCATTCTGCCATAAGTTATCATTATCACTAGGTTCCTCAGTGGAAGAAAATACAGTAAATCCCTTCAAATACAAAGCAGTAAAGACCACTGGCTTTTAAAATCATGACTGCTATTGCCATTAACAGAAAATGACAGCTATGTGGCATGCTTAGATGCTGCTTGTATCTTTTTTGACAGTATGCACATAAACCTGCCAGTGACATGCCATTAGATCACATGACCTTTCAAATTTGATTCTGGCATTATTGCTTTTCCTTAGGAAAGACAAGGGAATTAGATGTTTGTTTTTCTTTGTTCTTTTCTTCATGATCTTTCTTGTAGAAGATGAAAAATAGTCTTAAATAATTATATTAATTCCAATTTGCTTTGCAGTGATACATGTGGATAAGGCAAATAATCGCGCAAGAAGAGAGTATCTCAAGTCTATACTTCAAAAGCCAGATCTAAAAACTGACAGGTACATATTAGCACAGAAAAACTCCATAAAAGGTCTTTATAAAGAGCGCTTAAGGTTTGCCTTTTGGCTTGTCTTGTTCCTTGACTATACTGACATATCTAATGAACTAGAGAGAATTCTGTTTCAGCTGGGAACGTTACCTACATCTTGCAGTGGTGATGGATACGCGTTTCTTCCCTGGAGTAGGTTTGTGTGGCGTGGGACATCACTGTCTCTTTCATTGTTGAGTTATGTGTTTAGTGCTATGTTTTGAGATTTTTGTTAACAATCTTGATTTGCAAGAGCGTGACTCTATCATCAGCATTTCATCAGCACTGAATTTTAAAACTGCATATAGCAGAGTAGTACATCTTTTGCTTTCTGAATTTAAAGAATTAAGAGTTTGAAAGCTTTAGAAAGTGTTCTTTAGCCCTTGAATTTCCAAAAACCTATTTATAATTTGATTCCACGGTTGGCTATTATATATAAATTTAATTGCAGAAGAGAACATTTGTTGATTCTATTTGAAATGTAGGGTTAGTTGTCCATGGCTAAAATACTTTTTATTTATTTTTATAGTAGGGTAGGGTGATCCCTCTTCATTCTTTTTCCCTTCTAAAGCAAAGTTTCACAACTTTGACAGGAAATAGATTTTATTGAAATTGAGCACGAAACTCCATGAAAAGATCCTTGTGGGAATGGAAAATATCACAAAAAGAATTCTGAAGTTTCGAAATGCAAAAGACATAAGCAAGCAGAAGGCTGGTTTTATCATATAGAATAGGAAAGTGGATAATGTGCTCTATTAAGAATTTAATGAAACAGAGGACCGAATGTTCTTTTTTTTTTTTCCCCTTGGAAATAATTCAGTGAAGAAAACTAATTAGTCTTTTAGGCTACGATTTCACCTATAAATACTGCAGTGTCTTTTATTTACCAAATCTAATGTAGATTGATTGAGTTGAAAAGTTCAGACTGTTTTTGTTTATGAAATAAGGTACAACAACAGCAGAAAACTTTTTCCAGAAAAGAAGCATTCATCTTTTATTGTCACTATCATAGTAATGTTACATACATAGGTTGTTTTATTTGTTCTCACTGTGTGAAGTTTTGGTTCTGTGCTGACCAGATAGCAAGGCAAGAAGTCCATCACTGGACTAGTTCCCTACTTCAGCCTAGCAAGAGTACCACCAAGCAACAAAATTTATGAAAGGTTTGCTATACACCAAATCTTTTCAGTTCTGTGCGTTTTTAAACCTGGCCAAATTATATCTTCAACACGTTTTCTATCACAGGCCTTACAAAACTAGTATCAGAGTTTTTTCAGCTGATGCAGGAACTGAACTTTACATTTGAGCTTTAAAGTTCAGGAAACCAAGTTATCAAGGATGTAAATATCATTGAAAGCTGCCCCAGTGCGCTTTAGCCTGACACTTTATTGATGCTTGTACTGTGCCATCTTATAGGAGCAGTGATAGTATATTAAGTGTACTGAACTGTGTAGTATGTTTTCAGGTGAACTCACTGTCACAAATGTTGCTAGAAATGATGCTTGTAATGATTAATTCCATACTAGAACATAAATAGATACATTACATGTGATCATGCAATCTCATGTCTCACACCACTTGTTATAAAATCAAAAAATGCATGGATTAGAACTTAGTAAGGCTATGTCTGTATTATCTAGCAGTGGGAGAGAATCTCTAGAGCAATGTGTCTGTTCCTAATGGTCTGATATTCACTATACATATTTTGGGATGATTTTCATAATTCATAATACTCCTAGCTGATCCTATTGACTGAATGTCTTTTTGCAGCAGAATGCTGGCAGGGCTACTTCTGGAGCACGTCTGGTTTTGACCATTACAAGAAGAATCCAGTTAACAAGTTCCAAGACTACTTTGCAAACAAAAGAACTGTAACTGGGGACAGATGAAAAGTTTTACTTCATAACAAGCAATACATACGTCCAAGCCCAGACACTTTCATTAAGTGTGGCCTGACTGAACTGAAGTAGTGGAACTTCTCTTACAAGCTTTGCTATCAAAGATTTTAGCCAATGCAACATAAATGACATTTAATCTAAACTAAGTATTATTGCCATTCGGTTGTTTTTAGTTCTTCACATCAGACAGCTTGAATGGTGTTGGACAGTGGTGTGAAAAATGAAAAGAAACAAAAATACCCCTTACTACTTTTAATTGTTGTGTAAATTAATTTTCTGAAATACCTGAAAGTATGTAGGTATAAACTTGGTTTTGGGAAGAAGTGTAAAGAAACGAAGTGACTTCTTCTACTACTGTTAAATAATGGTAAAGAGGGAGGGATAATGTGACAGGAAGGGTCTCTCAAACTATTGTTTTTGTTGAAAACATTGCACATCATTAATAGAGAGATCTGGTTTATGCTTAACTGGTAATGTAGAGCCTTTTTGCCTTCTTCATATGTTTTTGAGTTGATTTTAAGCCCTTTTGAAGGTAAAAATCCTTTTTTTTTTTTTTTTTTTTTTCTTTCTTTTTTTGCTCAGCCTACTGTTTACAGTGGTCAGTGATCCCCCAGAAGACAAACAGGATCTTGAATGTGAAGATATCGGTTTTGCTTATGTCAGCTTGAGAGAGATATTTCAGAAAGGAAGGGATGTCATCGAGCAAGATATTTTTGGTGAGTTTTAGAGCCTATTTTACTGTTACCTTACTGAAACCAGCAGTTACTTGAATTTCTTCTTTGCATAAGAAATTCAAGCAGTATTGTCTAAGTAGTTGTTTGACGTTGTCTGGATAAGAAATTTCTTAATATCAACTAGAGATCTCCCGATTAGTTTACAAAATTTTCAAAGCTGTGTCATTTTGTTATTACTTAAAACGTAAATTGAAGGAAAAAAGAAAAGGAAGTAAAAAATAGCATACTCAGCTCAGAATAATCAGTTGATAAAACCTAAGAACTTTAAGGACATGCCTGCTTACTATGACTCTCTATTTTGTATAGTATGCTTCATCCAAAAAGACTGTAAATATATATTACTTTGTTATTAAAACTTGTGTTAACAAATACTGCATTGCTAATTTCTGTATTGTGCTTAAAGTAATTCTGTAATCTACAGATTTACCTTAAGTTTGCATTCTCTGTATAAAATGTGTCTCTGGTCAAAATGAAATACCAGTGGCTTTGGTTTAGGTCTAACAGTTTAAAGTAAGATTTCTTCTGTAACAGACTGACTGAACTTTCACTGTGACTTATTAAAGCAAGATGAGGTGAGTAGGTGTGGAACCTTCTGTTTCCTGTGTCTTATGATAACAGGTTTATGAAGCAGAGAAGGATAATTGGTCTTTTTATAGTGAGGTGTCTGGTTTGGCCCTTTCTGATCTCCAGGGTAGCAGGAACAGGACTATCTGTTGTTTTTGTCATTACCTGCTACACTCCATTCTCATTCTCCATTATGTAAAGCTAAGTAAAGAATAAGCTGGGAGTGTATCTGTTAACAGTTAATCTCCTATAAAGGTAAGTGAGCAGCATGATTACCAGAAGTAGTGTGCCTGTGCTTGCAAATCACTCTTAACAACAAGAATTGTTAGTCCTGGTCAAAAGCTGCACCAATTCTTCCACACTCGTATGTCTGATTACCATACCTTGAATGATGGGCTGATTAGTGAGGGAAAGAAATAGTTTCTTATCCATTCCTTTTATCATGCATGATTTGCATCTGTGCCATTACTAAAATACCAAAAGTATTTATCAAAGTTCAAGGAACAAAATAAGAATTCTATGAAGAATTAAATTGTCATATCCTGGAAAAATAATACACAGATTTGATGCAGTTCTTTCTGTGACTGAACCTCTTAATTCTTTTTCCACCAGTCATTTTTCTCTAAGTAGTTATACAGGCATTGTATCTCTTCCAAAAAGGCATTTCATAGTCTCTCATTGGAAACTTGCCTTTGTTGTGGATTTTATGGTCATTTTGTCACCATTCCTGTTTGATAAGATTTAATAGTGACATAAAAGTTATTTTGTTGTGTTGAAAAGCATCTTTCACAAAACTCTTAAAGCTCTCAATTATCATCTGAGATTATTAGGATAAGAAGAACACTAGTATTAGTTGTCTTAGGTAATCATTATTATGTAATGCCAGCTACTTCTCTGTTGAGAGGAACATTTCCTACAGTCATAAGGTATTCAAACTATTTTGTTTAACTTTATGTATATTATATTTGTGAAAGCAATAGTACTGTATATAAATGCAATTATTCTTGCTCTTATCTCCCCATCCCTGCAGATACTAATTTGTTTCGTAGTAAAACACTACTGAAGCTTATAAAGTTTATCTAATGGACTGGATTTTCTAAAAAATAAAAAAATATATTGGCTTCTTTTTCACCATAAAAAGTTTGGATTATTCCAAGAGGGAGATATCTAGTGTCTCCTGATAGTTAAAACATACCCTTGACAGTTAGTATCTTTTTCATATGGATTTACGGTAATGCTGTTGCCAGTGGCAATGTGATTCTAATCCTTCTTTCAAAAGTTAAATGCTCTAAACTTCTTTTATACTTTTTAGGACTGGATGAAAATGAGCATATACAACGGCATATGATAGTATGTCTTGGGGATAACGTGACAATATTAAAACTGAGGGAAATTAATTTACATTTTCTGTTTTCAATCAGTTACCCTACTATTCTTATAAGTAAAAAGAATGATTTCCGCTGAAATTTCCTCTTCAGATTGGCATTTTGTCCAAAGATACATACAATTTGTTTGCATCTCTAAGAATAGCATCCAGTCTGTCCTCTAATAGCTGTGTCAGCAAGGTAAATGATGGAACGTTTATCCTTTGTTTTTCTTTCCCTGAACTTAACTCTGGCTGTCCCAGCAGCCTGGGCATTGTAGCACACAGTATCACTGCATGTTCCCCGAGTATTTATCCCAATCTTTTTAGTAAATACATAACCTTGCTGTTTCTTTGCTGTACACATAGCTTTGAGGAGATGTGCTGTCAAGATTATTTGGTTTAAGTCCAATTCCTCCTAGAGTCATGTTAGACAGCCTCATTACTTTTTATGCAGGAATGGGAAGTAACCTCATTCTTGACTGTTAGCATGTTTTTAATCAAAGCAGCAGAGAATGTGGCCCTCAGGGCTTATGTAGATACTGTAGAAGAGTGCAATTGTAAATCACATTAGCTAATTTCTGTAAAATAAAAATTTTAAATACTGCTTTAAAATACACATGCACAAAGATGAAGGTATAGTGGATAAACACCATCTTTGTCTACTCTTTGCTATTTTACAGCACACAGAAGCCTACATTGCACCAGATGGAAAGTAGCAGTTTACCATTTAAGTACTGATAGCTCCCCAAACTGATTTGTGCTGGTCATATAGGCAGTGCATAATGTATATACTTGCTGTACAAAATACATCTATCTGCATGTTTTTTACATTTTAGTGGTATTTACATACGTGGGTATGTCTCTAATAGCTTGCATTCTGATATCTGAATATCTGTATTTGTGAATTATGGAAAATAAACAATTTGCATAAGCAGTTTTCATACAGGAAGTTCTCTTTACTTGAAAATTAATTCCAATGCAAATGCTTTTGTTTGAAGAACTTTGTAGTTCTTAGGGTGCACAGGTTCCAGTAGGCTGAGTACTAGGTCCTACTTCTAATGAGAAAGTTGGCTGAGAGCTTTCTTTATAAATCCTATAGGGCTGAGTGCCGGAACTGGAAGCTATTTTTTGTTCTTTCAGCATATGCTAGGTGCCATTTAATCTATCCAAATCCTAAGCAAAATTATCGGAACAAAACCAAAGCCTTAAATGAATTTACTAATGCTGTTTTCTGATGTTTCCTTTCTAGTTTTTGATTCGCAAGATGATAGTGCAATAATTGGTAAGCTTAGAGTAACAGTGGAAGCCCTCCATGCACTGCGTTCAGTCTACGAGGAATGCAAAGATGACTCGGAGGCATGAAAGGGAAGTTTGCCTACAGAAGTTTCTTCTGCAAATACATACTTGACAGTGTTCAAAGATGAGATCTTCACAATTCGTAAAATATATTTAATGTATAATTTATACAAAAAGGACTCTTAATTTATAATAATAAAGTTTTGTAAACTTTTCGGTCTGTTTGTTTTTATATTTCCCCCCTAGGGCTGAGCATCTCCCCACAGTGGACAGCGCCTTGTGAATAATTAATACCTACATGATTGAATGATGTGCTTTATTTGCATTTTCAACATTTTTTCCTACATAAAACAGTAATAAAAATGCAAGTCAAATTTTTAATTTTTAATAAAAAAAAAACCATAAGCCTTAGAAAACTGATTAAAAATACTTCTATGTTATCCCTAATCACCCCGCTAAATGGAATGCCTGTGATTAGCCTCATTAAGAATTTTATACTGTGAAGATTTTATTAAAAGCAATATATGAAAATTACTTGGATTAATGTGTTAATCTGCCTCTTTAAAATGCTAATATCCATTTTATGCACATTAAATCTCAGTATGTGTTTTCTTTGATGCATACAGTTCCTATCAATTAAATATAAAAAATGAAGCTAGTTGGAAGACTTATTAAATTACAGCAACCTTTTTTTCACTAACTTTGCCCTTCCGCTAACATTATAATCAGCTGTTTATGATTATCATGATTTGAAGTAGGGGGAGGGCAGGCACAATAATTTTTCTATACAGTAAAAGATTTACTTTCAGCCAACATCTGTCAAAGCACAAAAAGAAGCCATAAAGTATCAGATTTTGCTTCACCTAGTTTGAGCTGTAGGGACAAGCAACTGTGATTTCATTTGTTTTCTATCACTTTCAGAACTTCTATCAGACATGGAATGAATTGTTGTATCTGAATAACCAGTGTCTATCTTGGAAAGTTAATTTTCTAGCTTTTAACCAATCTCATTGAAGGATTTAATTGATATTTTTAATGGAGCTGTGAACCAGTGCTGCAAAAGGATTGTCTCTTGAGAACGAGGATATAATACATTTCATTTTTTAATTTACTTTTTTATTTGTCATTTTCTTCAAAGGATTTTATGTGCTGTGGATTTCCACTGTTTGCAAACAGGCTATGTTTCTTCATAAGCATATGTAAAGTATTCAGGGAGATAAGTAATTTATTAAAATCTACCTAATTTGCCGTGATATATTAAATCTCTGCTTCAGTGATCACAGACCATTTCATTTAGAGAATTAGGCATTCCCTCTTTGTGTGATTAAAGCTCTGGAAAATGAGTTCTTTGCTCCTATTTGTGAACATTCAAAGCCTGCTAATGGCAAGAAGATGGAATAGATTATGAGACAATTCATTACAGTTCAACAGGAGGGGAAAAAAAAGCAGCTATAATGCAGAAATGCAAGTATGAATATCTGCATATAGTTTGAACCATCTGTGCTCTAATGGCTTCAGTAATGGCTCTTCATCTTCAGTAGGCTTTGAAATGACATCCATACAATATTAATTTGTTGATGTACATTATGAGGCCATTGGAATGAATATTC